TTTAAGACTGTTATTACTTGTGTCTATGATTCCCTTTAGATGTTTTAGGTCTTCATAGCCTAAGAGACAGTCATACTTGTTGTGCAAATTAATTAGTAGAAACCCTACTTCATATTGTATTCCATATGCATGAAACAAAGGGAGTTTACAAGACTATTGTCCTTTTTTAATTTATTTGCAAGTTTTAATTTCAAAGGAATTAGGAAGGATACAGTTGGGGAAAATTTGGAGTGCAAGATCTTCGTTCATATGTGAGGAAGAAGCTCCTGTATCTGTGAGTAGCAGTAGGTTTAAATAATTATTGATGTTAATTCGGAGTCGTTCTGGGCTTGATGAACATTTTCGAATGTTAATTCTGGGTTTTCAAAATATTTAAATTGATCATAATTTTGATATTGATCATGATGTTTTTCTCTTGAAACTACTGAGAGTCATAATTTTCATGATAAGACGGTTCTTGATGGTAGGAGTATGAATCATTGTTAGTAAGTTCTTCGGAAACAAAATTACGTGTTGACTATTGTTAAAGAAGCTGGGTCATGGGACGATTATTATTATTCGTCCTAAAGTCGCATACCGACCGAGATTCCAACGCAAGCCAAGGCAAATGTGGTTACAGATTTGGAGGTGTTCGAATCGGTGTGTACGGGGCGAGCCAACATAAGCCAACAGTTTCCAACGTGGGCGTTGGTGTTCCATTGCGTTAGCTCCTCTATCGGTACATCAAAGGGAGGTTTGATTTGGTCTGGACATGATTTGGTCTGGACATGATTTGTTGCGCTTTTAGTATTTAGTCGTTTGTCTGCATTCGATGAGAGAAGACTCGTCGTTCGACATTAGCACCGAACTTAACCCAATGCGGTCCAACGCGAAACTAAATTTAGGTGTAGACGAGCGTATTCCAATACCTTCCAATAACAAACGCCAACGTCACAGGTGCTTGCATTCGTTTGTTTTCTATTCGTCAATGTAGTCAGTAGGTCTGTCAGGTCTGGTTGCCCAGATACCAGATGAAGTCAGGGAGAGAGAAAGGAAGAAGAAAGAAAGGAAGGAAGGGGGAAGAGCAAAGAGGGTGAAGTGCGCCGGTTAAAGGGATGCCTTGTTATTGTTAACTGGTATTTGGTTATTTTAAATGAATCCAAAAATTAATTTAGGAATTTGTATTTGGCAAAAATTGGAATTTTGGTTGGACCTAGAATTGCACGATTTGATTTTGATCACAGTGCGAGCCGCGGTCTTGTGTGCTTGCGAACTTGCTCGACTGTGTAGACTACTGACTCACGCTACAGAGGCTTGCTGTGCAATTCAACTTCCCCTTAGGTAAGAGATGTCGAGGTCTCTGTGAAGGGTCTCGTTGGAGACATACCATGGTGCGTTAGAGATGGTTCGCAAGGCTCAGTGCTGTAAAACCTTCAGATTACGCATATGCGTTTTGGCAAGAAAATACCATGCTGCACATGTGTAAGAGATTGCTGGTCTGATAACCATCTTGTATAGCCGAACTTTGTTAACCAAACTTAATTATGAGGTTCTACATAGCAAACGGTAGAGTTGCCGAAAGGTAATTTGGAATTTAGTTTTTAAAGCTTCAGTGTGATTCTGCCAGTTCATAGATAGCCTGCGTTTTCGATTAATTAATTTTGATAGGACACCGATCTGCCCATTCGAATACCTCATCTACCGCACTTTATAATCTGCGAACCAGATTCCCAGTACGCGACTGGGCCACCTGTGCAGTGTCATCGGCATATAGATACACTTCACAGTCGCTAGGGCAAGGGACATCCTAGGTAAAAGTGAGTAAAGGATTTTCCCTAGAACCGGGACGCCGGCTCTGATAGGCCATACTGTCAACAAGAAATTATTAATTTTGATCCGAAATTTCCTACCTTCAAGGAAGGATTTCAAAAGTTTTAGGAGCCAAAAAGGAAAGCCCTTTTGAATTAGTTTATAAAGAAGGCCCTTGTGCCATACCTTGTCAAATGCCTTCGAGACATCCAGAAGCAAGATGTCAGTACTTTCATTAAGGGTGAAGCCCCTGGTTACTCGCTCCACAGGCCTAACCGCCTGTAACTCCGTACTATGCTCAGAACGAAATCCAAATTACACATCAGGAATCACATGGTGATCTGGTGAGACATTCGCAAGATGACCTAGAATCACCTTTTCAGCGAGCTTAGACGGAGCAGACAGTAGGCTAATGGGACGACCTTCTTTGGAATCATTATAACTTCCGCAGTCTTCCACGCCGATGGAAAGTACTGGGACCTGAGCATGGCATTGATAATAGCCACGAGATAAGTCAAGGACTTCCGTAAAAGCAGCTTCAGCGGCTTATTAGTGATTTGATCCTCACCAGGCCCTTTATGCACCTTGAGGTCTTTAATATGACCTTGAAGCTCTGCTGGTGTGCAATGCGGGATCTTGGGAGAAACCGCTGATGTGGTGTGCAACTCTTCACTGACGCCGTTGGCTCTAAAATATCTCCTGACGGATCTTGCAATTTGTTGCTCCTCGTCGAGATCATTATAAAGATCATAGGTGGAACAGAACTGTCGTTCCATAGCATCAGCGAAAATCTCGATCTTGTCCTCTGTCGAGTTGTTGTTCTCGCTTTCCGTTTCTGAGCGAATTTACCACTTTCCAGATAGGAGTACTTGAGTCAAGCATCCCCGCCAGAAAGTCGTTCAATTGCTCATTGCGGAACTCATGGAGAGCATTTCTTACTTCATGAACAATATTCGTCGCTCTGCGAATGTCATCAGGATGACAAGACCTTTTCGGTTGCTTAATCGCAGCCATTTTGTCAGAAATTTTCTGATGAATGTCTGCAGGGAGAAAAGGTCTGCCGTGTTGTTGTACAGGAAATACAGCTGCACGCTGCAGAGCTTGCTGAACGCAGCTTGTCCACTCCGATTGAGCCGCATCATCTATACCATTCTGATCATCTATGATCGGGATACTGGGGAACTCTCTAAGAAAAAACTTGTATAGTTCCCAATCAACCCGTTTCCTTGGAGAACTTCCCTCTTCCAAGGTTTTCACATTACCCACTTCCAATATGACAAGATGATAGCTAGAAATGGCATACATGATTCGAGACGTGATACTGTATCTACAGTTTCTAGATATTGCAAAGTTGGTGACATCTGGTGCATGAATGTGATTAAATGGATGGTGCATGGGCTCTTCAGTACTGTGTATGAGGTAGCCGTTTCATCTCACATGGTTGTACAGTCAAATCCTAGTCGTGGAATTCAACCTAGAATGTCTTGCCATGTGTTTGCAGTTGAAGTCGCCTGCTACAGTAAGCAGAACAGTAGTCTATAAAGACTTCCAAGGTCCGCCTCCTGCAGCCTGGCACCATACCTGACATACACCGATGGGATCTTCAACGGGACACCTCCCGCCATATTGACGTCCACGGAAGCCGCCTCAATGCTCTGCATTTCGGTATTTGTGCTTCTGTGGTAGTCAATACCACGTTTTACTAGGACTACCAAGCCGCCACCCCGTCCAGTTAATCTATCAGCTCGGATAACATCATAATTCGGGAAAGATAGACGATCTCCCGGATTAAGCAATGGTTCCTGCAACAGAGCCACATCTATACTCTCATCTAAAAGTACTTGATGAAATTCCCTTTTTTGGGAATATCCCTAAAACCCAAACAATTTCAGAAAAGAATTTTGATGAATGCAGGCTGTCTACTATTGTATCTAGCCACTTTTATCGGAAAGATCGCCTGCAAGGCCTGTGTAGCCCTTATCAGGGGACTAATTATCTGCTGCAAGGACCTGAGGGCTATTGCTAGGTCTACGTTTTGAGCAGTCGAAGGTGAGCTCGGGACAGCAGGGGCAGCTAGAATTTCAACCTTTCCTGCGTCTGCTTATGATTTTACTCGCCTTTGTGTGATGACCTGTAGATTTCTCCTAGGAGTAAATCCACAGGTAGATAACTGTTGGCCGGATGCCCCCCCCCACAGTTCGTACATTTGCGCACCTCTTGTCCTGTTTAAGGGCACAGATGTGTCATGTAGTCTTGAGCACATTTGAGATACTTTGGAGGTGCAGTGCAATACAATTATGCGTGTCCATACTTCCGACAGCGGTGACACTGCCCAATGAGTTGAGTGTTCTTTTGAACCTCAACTCTGATAGAGAGCCCCAGCAGTTCATGTTCGTTGAACACTTGCTGTGACTTCTCTGTCTTAGACAGGATCACCGCCACCAAAGGCATGGGGACGTATAGTAGTATATCCCTTCTGTTCGAGCTCCTCTTTGATTTCCTGCTCAGTAGTTGATGCTTGGATTCCTCTAATAACAGCGTGAATACTACGCTCAGAGGGAAGGGGAAATGTATGGTGAGGAACATTTTGCTCTTTGAAAAGACGAATTATCTTCCGATAATCGCCTTCGCTTTCAGGTACGCTGCGTATCCCAGCATTAGCAGCTACTGCTCGATCAATCTTAACACCAAGACTGATAAAAGAATAGTTGACAGTGCGCCACTTTGCCGCATCCAGCAGCACAACAGGTGTAACACGCACTGTGACGGGCTGATTGTGCCTGCGTTAGATCACGGAGATGTAGCGTTGCTGCCAGCCATGGAAGCAGCTTGTGAGACTGAAGTAGTGTTGCGAATTTCTTTTAAGCTAGGTGCTTGCATTTGAGAGTGCTTTGGCTGGCTTGCAGAATCAGCAGAAGAAACAGACACAGGCGGTGTTATGTCCATTGAATTTTTATTGATTGGGGATTTCTTAGTCGGAAGGCAAGGATATTCGTTAATTCTACGAATCTGTCGTTTTTTACGTCTCTGGATAGTGGTAAAATCACTACACTGTACGTCGTCTTCTGTCTCTGTAGGTGAGGTAGGGCTGTTGTGTCTTCTCTTGGGAATTTCAATAGAACTGTCTTCACGGAATATGAATTTATTTAAAGAAGTACTAAGGCTAAAAACCTGCACATTGAGATTGTCCGCTCTTGATTTGAGCTGCCTGGTCAGCGATAATTTGGTAGAGCCTCTCCTTTTCGGTGTCTCGTGTCTCTTTCAATATCTGCAGCTATCAAAGCCTCACTAGGGTTCGTATTATCCAATCTCTCAGGTACGCCGCTTTTTACTCCTTCACCACTCGCTGTGATGGAGGGGTCGCCTAGTGACCCCTCGGACGTGCTTTCCATCTTATAGTCGCGTTTTCTCTCAGCAAATTCTCAAAATTTTTAAGGACCAAAAATCTGACAACTTGTCTTTTCCCTGTCTACAGGGCGATATTTGCATTCGTTTGTTCGGCGTTGGATTTTCGGCCTGTACGCGGCTTTATAGTGGAAATAGACATAGGCATAGGTCTGAAATTTTGGGTATTTCGATTGGAGGCATCAAAATTTTGATTAGCTTGGGGTCTCGAGCTAAAAGCTGCGATATTTGTGGGCAAGATAATTATAAGTCCGGGCATGTTCCCGAGACCAGTTGGGAATCGTGGTGGATTCATTAGAGTAGGTTTCCGTGAGTGCTGATTTTGGAGTGTAGAAGGGCGAGAGTGCATAAAATTTGTTCTATTGTTTTGCAAATTTGGTCTTGTTTGAGGAGATTTGATGTTTTTGTTAGCAAAGTCTTAGAAGCTAGATTGCAACTGCAACTTGTCATAGTCGTAACAAGCAGAGATAAGGACTTCAGTTTCAGGCTTGGGGCATAACGGAACAGAACGATAGGATTCACGTATGTCAGTAAGAGATGAATCCAAAATCAATTTTTCATAAAAACCTAGTTTAGTGTTTTGAATGATGACAACTGGGTATTCTAATTTGGCATATTCTCGTAGAACATGTAATTTTCTCAAAATGTCATTATAAAGGATAATATAATCAGAAGTTTTTGCTTGTTTTATTCATTGATCAAAATAATCTCACTTCTACGTCCTCCATAATTGTGAATCAAAGTGTTTTTGACTATATCCCGAGTATTCGGATTACCCTGTAAAACCAATTCTTTTACTTCACCTTCCAGTAGTGAGACAACGTAGATCAAAGCGTCTTGTTGGAAATCGTTCACAATTCTGAAAATATTAAGGGTTGTTAGTTTCCTGTGAAAATCTTGGCAAAGTATTTTTTAATAAATTAAATTTAAAACTATAATCGTTCAAATTTGAAACCATTTAAGATTCTGATGGAACGGGGGATCTGTCTCGAGTTTCTGTAACTAAATTTGAGTTTGGAGTTGTGGAATTTACTTGTGGTTCCGTTCTTCTAGTAAAACGATTTTGTAAAGGCATTAAAATTAGTATCAAGAATACAGAATAAAAGTTTGATACTTAAAATTGACTTACGCTAGTAGCAATAATTTCTGGAATACCGGTGATGGTCAACTCAGTGTACTGAACAGGAAATCTGCTGGAGTGACTCTATACTTGCATTGGACATAGTCTTGTTCTTGTACTAGGCAGGGGCTGGATAAATTCTCGGAGATGGAGTATCTTCACTGGTTCCTCTAGCCTTGTACTTTCTAATTTTTTCGTGGCTAGGCACTTCAAAACTCGTCAAGTTCTTCGGATAGCTTCTTTGGGATGACTAAAATCTTCCTCCTCGTTGAAATGGCAGAACTCAAATGGATGAGCCTTGGGTCACCCAAATAACTCAAATGATAATTGGAGTAGTCACTTGCTTTGGGTTATAGCTTCTGGATCTCGATTGAGTAGTACTTGGTACCTACTCGACTAGACTAGACTTAAAATAGTTGTAGCTGATTTGCCCTCTACTACTACAGAAATGATAATAATAATTGAGATATTTAAAAAAAAACATTTTTGATGTATTCGATCAAGTTTTGGTTATATGAATTTTCATTGGGAATATAATAATATGAATATAATTTTCTGATCAATTTTCAGATAAATCCACCAATCGCAAATAACTGTTACACTTCAAGGCTTCATGGTCTTGTAAATACCTTTTATACTCATGTGGCACAATAATGTTTACTAGTTAGATAAATTAAGCTATTTATTTATCGCAAAACTTACCCTGTTCCACAAAAAAAAAACATTCAAATAATGTACCACTTGGAGAGGTACCCATTAAGCACGCTATCATAGTGAAACTCACAGGCAAAATGGATGCTGGCAGACGGGTCGGCTCAGGTCGGCTTGCCATTATGCCCTTGGTCGCTCGGAGTCACACGCACATGTGCTGTAACCGAAAATATTTAATGAATATGTTCTAAATAATGGAGTTTTTGTATTTTCCATTGATTGAAAAGTAAATATTAATGAATATTATAAAAGAAATATTGTATTTAAAATATTTAAAAGATGTTGAATAAATATTTAATAAAAATATTGTATTCCAAATATTTATTAATATTTCTTTAAGATAACAGATATTTAAGTAAGATAAAAATATTATTAAATATTGAATAGATATTTAATGAATGTTTCGTGCTATCGAGAATGAGTCTGTCGGTGGCACAATTCTTCGTTTGGGCTCTGTGAATTTGTTCTATTCTCAGGAGTTCACCTTTGTATATTCGGAATCACCATCTAGTCTTCCGCTTTTTCACCAAGCTATGCCATAAAGTTGTACTCCTAAGAGGTCTCTATAATATATATGAATCTGTTGGTGGCACAATTCTTCGTTTGCGTCCTGCGATTTTTTTTTCTGTTTTGAGGAGTCAAAACCCTTGTTTGCGCAGAATCACCCTGCAGTCCCCCGATCTTTGACAAAGCTATGCCATAAAGTCATACTTCTATGAGGACTCTACGACATTATATGAGTCTGTCGGTGCCACAACTCTTCGTTGGGGTTCTCCGATTTTTTTCTGTTTTAAGTGCCTTATATGCGCAGAATCACGCTGTAGTCCTCTGAGTTTTCGCAAAGCTATGTCATAAAGATGTACTTCTATGAGGTCTCTACAACATATATGAGTTTGTTGGTGGCACAATTTTTCGTTTGGAATCTGCGAATGTTTTTCTGTTGTGAGGAGTTTACCATTGTATGCGCAGATTCACCCTGTAGTCCCTTGATTTTACGCCAAGCTATGCCATTAAGATGTACTCCTATTGGGTCTCTACAGCATATATTAGTCTGTTGGTGGCACAATCCTTTGTTCGCATGGACTCTGCGATTTTTTTATGTGTACTCACGATACAAACGTGTAGTTCGTCGAAATCAACCTCTATGACCCTAATTTAGTTTAATAGTTATGCGGTTTTTACAGCAGTAGTTCAATTAGGCTTAATATCAGTAGGACCGTCGTGTAAGAAGTCATTTTTGGTATTTTGCTTATCAAGACGGCAGACTAGTGCCTGTTCTGTTTTCCCGTTCACTCCACCACTGGTAATACCGAATCTTGGGATACTATCTAGATTAATTTGTTAAAAACCTTATTTGATAATAAGTAACATAAAGCTATCTTCTGGAGCTGAAAATGTCAGTTTTCTAGCCTATCGGCGATTTGTAATCACTACTGAACTGGTCGACTGTAATTTCATCATATTTATTCGAATATGAATCTGAAGCTAACTTCAGGGATGTGCTGTGCGTAGAGGAAGGTGGGGCAAGATGGGGTAGCTAAGGATTGATTTGGAGTTATAGCTCAAATTCGTACTTTTTTGAATATTTTTCATTTTATAGTATTCATTGGTTATAAGTTTATAAATAATACTTAGCAGAAAACAAATTAAAAATTTATTTATTTTTTTTAAACTAGGAAAACTGAAAAATTAAGATTTTCCACGTCTTGCCCCATAGGTGGGGTAAAATGGGGTTTATAATATAATGTCAAAATGAAAAGAATTAAACAACATTTCACTAAAATAAAATTGGATTGCCTAATGAAACTTAAAGGGACTGAACCTCATAGTACCAAAAAAACTATTTCTTGGGTTTACAAAATAAACAGATGTACGTGGGCTTCATTGTCATCATCCTCAACGTCTGCGCAACCGCAATGCGCCCATTTATTACACTTTATATAGTTTATCCAGCCTTCTACAGATTCGGAATATAATCCACTGCAATAGAGACATGAGGTGTCGTCCTCATCGTCGCTTTCGGCAGTTGACTCATGTCTGGGACGCTTTCCTTTTTGTCTTATCCGATTTTGCTGTTTTTTTTTCATCAGTTTTTGTTTTTGCTCGATTATTTTCTGTTTTTCTTCTTTCTTCGTTTGTCTATCGATGTTCCTTTTGACTTTTAGTTGCTCCATCTGTTGTGTTTCTTGTAATTCCTTCTCAAGCTCTTCCTTATAAGGCGAAGAGGTTATAATTGCACTCTTCCCTTTTTTCCTAGTTTGGATTCTGTTTTTCTGTGTGGTAACCGGTGACGGCAGTAGCTGCTTAGGACTAACTAGTGTAAATGCGTATTTTTTGTTGGCGAATGAATCTGTTTCTCTCGACATGTGTTCCAAAATGAACAACCTGGCTGAGGACTGGAGGACTGAGACTGTGTGCTTGATTATTGCGTCGATGTATTAGGATTGCTCTCATTTAATCTTATGTTTGTACTTTCCGCTGGATTTTGGAAAATAGTAGCTTGGGGTAAGTGATCCTGTACTAAATTTATATTAGTGGTCTCAGAAGCGATAAAATCGTCTTCAGTGAAGACAGTAGGATCATATGGCCAGATTTTGGACCCAGAGGCCAGAGGTACTTTTAGTTTTTGTAAATTGTCTATATTTTCTTTAGCCAATTTTACTTTTCGTTCCAACGTAGTTTGAGGAAAAGCACGACCTACTGCAATGACGATACAGAAGCTACTGAAATAAGCAACACGTTGGCGTCGTTTCGTGTGTAGTTCTCGAATTTAACACCTTGGATTGGCGGAATAATACGCGTACCCCATCTTGCCTTGTTACCCCACCTTGCCCCACCTTCCCATAGCTTTATTCGGTACTGACTAACAGCCGTTTGTAGGGTTCAGTTTATGGGATGGGATGATGTCGCAGTATTTTCGAAAATTTGTACTGATAGTGATATCATACGAAATGTTAACAATAAAGAAATATTAGTTTCGTTTTTAGATGTTTCTCGACCACTACTTATTTTTGAGCATAGTCAAAAATTGTCTTGCATCAGTGAAAGAGGCAGTACTTTTTTGAACTATTGTCAAGCTTTTCATAATTTTGGCCATAATCAAAAGGAATTTAAGGGTCAAGAACACTTTTTCCACTATTGTGGGCAAATATATTTTTTCCGTAACTGTGGCAACACGGTATTGAGGATTGTTCTGACATCTACTCTTGGACTTGGTAACTACGAAATAACCTGAAAAAGTTTTCTGCTTCAGAAAAGTTCCCATTATTGCCACTTTTTTTATTTCAAAGTTTAGGTTTTAATTAATAGATGGCGATACACGAAAAAAGTTTCAGTTTCTCTCACTGCCTACTCTACTCTCTACTCCTACTCGTCTACTGTCATCGCTCTCTCTCCTGCATTCAATTCCTGTTTACATTGCCAGATTACGGAATTACTCATATCTGATGAAGTAATGAAGTAATTCATTTTTTAGTCATCAAAAGACTTCAAAGAGACCAGAATAACCGACTGAGTGTGTAGCATATTAATTTCGCCTTCAATTTTTCCACCAGCACTTTTTACAACACAGATTCCGTACAGAATGTGCAAGTTGAACGTCGTATAGCCATAAAGTAAGTTCGTTTTGTTTTATTTTCTTGATTCGTTTTTATCTTAGGTCATGTATCTGGGAGTTCTTAAAATAAACATCACAACGATTAAAAATAAAGGTACTCCAGTGCACTTATTAATATTGGGCGAGCCCACACTCCTTAAAGCTATGCCATTGAGAATATCGTTTTTCTGTCACATTATAGTTCTAAGAATAGAATGCTACCTTGTCTGGATGATTTACGGGAATCCGTGGATATTATTTAATACTTTTCAAGCATATATCTGGATTAGCGCCTAAATTTGCACTTCAAAATTCAAAAATTGACCAGAAACTTTGTTTTAAGTTGCATATGTGTGTGTGGGTGTTTAACCTAGTTCTGTAACTAAAAGCTCGTTTTACTATTTAAGGACAATCAAAATGGATCTCAAGACGCAGTCTTTCCTGCTTCTGGTTATTTTCAATGGTATCTGTGCCAGTTTGCAACAAGTTCCTCAAGCATTTACCTCAGCAAACCCTTGCACTTCAAAGGGAAAGTGCCATGAATGTATACAGACTCCCTCTTGTGCCTGGTGCAATGATCCAGTAAGTAGCATTTTAGTCCTCTAATGAGATTGTTATCATAATGCAGGCTTTGTTTATGTGTATTTTTATGCACTCTTATTCAACCTAATGTATTGTAATTATTGCATGCAGACATATTGAAGATGTATATTGTATAATATACATCTATCTAATTTTTGAGCTAATATTCATACATTTGAATTATCACTAGCTTTTTGATCTTCAAAGTTATGATAATGTGGGATATTTGTTTGTCCTGTTTAATAACAAAATTCAACACCATTAGAGTTTACAAAAACTTTTTTGGGTGTAATAATATTTAAACCCTTTAATGTCTTGGTGTTGTGAATATTACAATTCTAAAAAGTTTCTAAAAAAATTTGTAACTACAAGGTCTCTTTCTGAACGTCAAATTATGTTTCTAAACCTCATTTACCGTTAATTTTGCTGATTTCTCTATGAATCAGATGAAAGAGTCCCTTTAAAGCGATAAGAATAGAAAATTTTACACAATAAAGAATTATAGGTGAGTTTGAGGTTCTGAAACAATGTGATTTTCAGGGGTTTTTAAACAGATTAATGCTTTTCAAAAACATTTGACAGTGTGCTATAGTAATTTGTAAAGTTTACTTAAGGCACACCTAATAACAACTAGTTATAAATGCAGACATGCACATTTTATCTATTTAATAAGATAGGTACCTATAACATATGCACTGTATTTACTAACAATGTTTATCAACCATCAAAATTCTGTTTAAATATTGTTTTTGTAACTGTATGTTGATATATGCTTATACAAAGGGTACTATAAAATACAGCTTTATTTAGTGACTTCGTCCAAAGTAATTTCCACCAGTCCTCAAACCAACTCTGCCAGGTTTCACCCTTGAGTGTGGCACACTCTTTATCCCAAGCCCTCAGAAGGCCTTATTGCCAGAAAACCGTTGTACTTTTAGCTTCACTTTCACTTGTGGAAACAGTGCAAAGTTGCAGAGAGCAAGATCTGGACTGTAAGGACGGTGCTCAATAAGTTTCAGCCCAGTAGTGGTAAAATACTCGGTGCGGGCTTTGCCTGGTGAGCTAGAGGGTTGGTATGGTGGAGGTTACCAAGTTTCCATTCTTGACTTTGGCTATAGGTTTTTCATAGACTCTATAACTGTGTGTCCAAACTGACACGCTCCATTTGAAAAATACAGCTCTTAACAGATCGGGATTTTCTGGCAGCTATGGGTGTATCCACATCATCAAAGACCTAATCTTTGTTTTGAGCCTTGGTCGACACATTGTAATAATAGAGTCAAGTCTCGTCACCTGTCACGATGCTGTTCACATACCGAAATTGCCCCTTAACAAACATTTTCAGCAACTTTCGGCACCAAGTCATATAACGAGTCTTCTGCTCTTCCGTTAGTCTATGCAGTACCCAGAGAGAACAAATTTTCCTTATGTGTAAATGGTCATGCAGAATTGAATGAATTGCTGGTGCATGAAGGTGTAAGGTCACCTGTATCGGTTGGTATGTCACTCTCCAGTCTTCGTCAAGCATTTTCCTCACAGTAGTAATGTTTTTCTCTGTGACTGACGGTCGCGGCCTTCCTTCCCTCTCAGCATCCTCCAGAGCGAAATTGCTTCTTTGGAATTCTCTGTACCACCTGAATATAATCGTACAATGACAATCATTCTTGAATACAAGTGTCATTTCTTCTAAGCACTGGTCTGTGCTTAATCCACGCGTAAAGTTATACCGTGAAACTGCCCTCATCTAACTACACGACCATGATGCCACAGCCCGTACTTTACATTGTCACTATGAATGAACAACTAAATCAACAGACGTGCTGCTGGCGGCTACTATACACTGATGGACATCTCTCAACAAGCAGTAACATGCAGCCTCCTGCGTCTGTTTGTCAAGTCATATTGCAAAACGTTTATAGTACCCTTTGTACATTATATTATATTATATATATATACATTTAGATAATAGTGCGTATTTTTAATATCATAAAGATATGGTGATGGTCAATATGCAGTTTTGCTTACATCAAAATCATTATGCAATACACATTCAACTATTACTCCAATTACCTATTATGCTGGCACCAAATGTAATTAATATAGTTGAAGTTTCCCTCTTCAATATTTTTTAGTCCAAGATGTGCCACCATTTTTTTTATTACAGTTATTGTTTAATATAAGATTAAGTGTTCATTTATATCTAGAATTTTGAAGACAATCATAGATGCTTCCAACCATCAACTGTGACCAGCCAGCAAAAACAATGCCCTGAAGAATATGTGGTGAATCCTGACAACATTGAAAGTACCTTGATGAATCTGACTCTTAGCAAGGCTCACAAAGCTGGCATTATAAGCTCAGGTAAATTTCAACATCTTTTTTCTTTAAATTACAAATAATCTTTCAAATTGTTTTATAGCTTAACAATACTTAGCACTTTTCCCTATTCGTCATGTTTGTCAAAATACTTTCCGAGAGCTGAAAAATTGGTCATATAAACTCAACTATAAAATAATTTAAAATGCTCCTCACACCCAAAAATGATCAAAAAGTCAACATATAATGAAGTTAGGTTATAAGATAACACAAAGCATCATCTATCACATCAGAACCAACCATTGCGGGAAGCGCATAGCCGACCTGACCAGACATCTATGCATACCGAACGGACCGTGTGTCTTTAGCTTTTTTCCAAAGGGTTCTTGCAGAAGCAGTGCAAGCCTAATCTTCCAGTTTAGTACATAATTGAAATTATTGATAGAAACAGGGTTATTAATAAAGGTGCATTAATAATTGTAGGGTAGGGCTAGCCTTGGAAATTTGCGTCTTTGTACATCAGTCATTGAGTAATTCACAGCCTCCCATACCAGGGTTAGAATAGCTGTCTGCTCTTGCATATGCCTTAATTGCAAGTTCTTTGATTAACTCACTGAGAGGAGGAATATTGATATCTGAATGTAGAGAGTGATTGGAAACATATCATGGAGCTCCCGTGATGGCGTGAAGATCTCTATGTTGGATTACCTCTAATGCAAGCATGTGCATCTTAGCAACAAAGCACCAAGCCACACATGCATATTTCATGATATGCCTAATAAGGAATTTGTATAGTAGTAACTTATTTGATGATGATAATCAACTATTTCCTCTTAGCAGCAGTCATGAAAACCCCCACAGCCTTGCTTTGTGCAGACATGATCTGGGTATTCCAGATTAATTTTCTGTCAATTATCAACTCCAAATTGTTTGCCTCCAATTGCCATGGTATGTTTTGTTCAAATACACTCAATTGCCTAGGCGCAGAATGCCCTCGTTTTGTTAGGAAAACAGCTTGAGTTTTTTGAGGATTAATATTCATTTTCCACATACAAAAGTATTCCTGCTGACACACCACCTACTGAAGGTGGTCTACCTCTTGAGCGAGTATTGACTCAGCGACCAGAGTGGTGTCAGCAGGGTAAAGGAACACCTCTGTGTGGTCAAAACCGAGAGATTTCGAAAGTAAAGATCCTTAATGTTGAAAGATAACTATAAATTTTGATTATAAACTTTCTGCAGTCCAAAAAGGATTTTAATAATTTAGATAGCTAAAAAGGGCAACTTAAGTGAATATGCTTGTAGATGAAACCCTGATGCCATACTTTTGTCTAATGCTTTTATGATTTGAAGCAACAAGACTGACACCGCGTAAATCCGCAAGTGATGGTCTCAACCAGCCTGCTGCTATTAGATGGAACTGTTAGGGATCTCAGCTCGCGTTTAATAACCCAGTCACCACGTGACTGTTAGAAGGCTGAAGATTCTGGCTGTAAAGTACATTTGGTCTTATTCCCATTTGCTCATATTTAGAAGTTAGGTTATGTTATATTTTTCAGAGTGAACTATCACAACAGATAAATATGTTATGTCAAACTGTGTTTGAGCCTATCGTACTAAGTTTATTTTTTTAAACACTTTGTTATTCTTCTAATATTTATTTTTCAGGAACTTTAGTTGATGTGGCAGAAGGATCCTACAATCATTCTGGTAGTTGGAGCGCCAGCGGCAGTGAAAGTAGTAGTTGGGGTGGTGGAGAATGGGGAGCACAAGCAGGAGGGAAGATTGTTCAATTGGCCCCACAGAGGATAAACTTGAAGTTAAGAGTCAGTAAGTATTCTTGAATATGATAGAATGCATTAGGCATGCCAGAACATGCAATGCTAAATTTGAGTGCCTAATTATGCCATGAAAAACAGTAAAAATCAAATTTTGGATGTTTTTCGTATCTTTCACCCCTCCAAAAATGTTTTCGATTAATCCATAAAATTGTCAAAGTTATAAAACATACAAGAAACGATGTTTGGGAATGGCCTTAAACTTTTTGTTGTTTGCTCATAACTCCGCCCCCATTGAGATAATTTTATACTGCAGTATTTCATTAACATTGGTTGACTAAAACTCGAAAATTTTATGTGGGAAGTAATACAATGTTACCTATTCTGTTTATAAAAAATCAGAAGATACTTGGCATTTCTTAACCTTCATTAATTATTTTTTCACTAGGGCAATCTTACAAAATCGATATGTGGTACACGCAAGCAGAAGACTACCCAGTAGATCTGTACTATCTTATGGATCTCAGCAAATCTATGTCGGATGATAAGGAAAAACTATCATTATTAGGCGATCAGTTGGCGTATACTATGAAAAATCTAACGTCAAATTTCAAATTGGGTTTTGGCAGCTTTGTTGATAAAGTTGTCATGCCTTATGTCAGCACCCTAAAGGACAAGTAAGTTACTGCTTATTTTTATTAAAACATAAGTATGCCAATATGGATTTGATTTATTTGAAGGTACTTTTTTAAAAAGAAAGTAATATAAAAATATTGAGCCTTATCATGTTATCTTTATTGTCGAAGTAAAGTAGCATTTTGGACAACCACTATTTGAAGATTATTGCTTTGAAGTGTCGGTTTTTAACAATGAATGAATAGGTTAGGAGGAGCCAAGCCTGTATTTTTACATTATTGCATTGTTTGTCTAACACAACATTTACTCGTATCTTAAAAAATTAACTTATGTCAAGTACACTTTGATCCTCACTACAGACTATGAGAATAAGGAGCCAATAAATCCTTGACTGACTCCTTCTACCTAAATCGTTGGTTTTTACCGCTTACAATGCTTTTCTGGAATTTCAACTTTAGATCAGGCTTCCAAGCATTTTAAGTGATATTAGTGATCGTTGTCGCGCCATGATAATATACACTCTACTGCCTGTAATTCAAGCTCATGATCTTCAGAACATTAGATTGCTTGCAGCACATCTCGTGAAACTGTAGCTATATTGCGACAATTCGATGAGCAACTAATTTTTCATTTTCGCACTGATAAATTCGCCGCCTAGATCGTCTAATTTCATACCACAAACAAATGTCATGAATGTATTTTTTTTTAATCTTGACGAATACCCGACACACATGGATGTTTTATTTTTTTATGCTCTTGATGAAAGTACCTCTAAATACATACGTATATATGTACACATGGATTGCCTAAAGAGGGTTTATACTGCAGTTCAGGAATGATGCAGCGACGATAATCCGTATTGAGATATTATATTTAACAGTAGGATTATTAATAGTGTTTATAATTTGTATTGTAATTCTATTTTGACAGTGTTCTAGCAATATTTTTTATCTAGGTATAGAATGTACTGATTTCTGTTATTTTTTCTTGTGTGTGACATTTGAATGACATTTGACATATGTGTTAGGTTGGAACGTCCCTGTGAGATATGTGTTGCCCCATATGGATTCAGGCACCATATGACCCTTAGCAATAATACGCATATGTTCTCAGTAAGTCCCTGTTATTACAGCTTCTACAGACACAAAATCCTTTCAGTCCTATCCTTCCTTATCTGCCATTTGATTGAATATTTGTATTGTATGCAACAGTCAGGGTTACAAATAAGCTAATTTGCACTTTTTGCACTTTTGGGCCACGGAATGCATGAAAAAATGTTAGTTTTTGGTCTCCTATAAAGGGTTCCAGGGAACAGCAGTCTATTTAAAGAAATACGAGGATTGTTTGAAAATTGTAGCAGTTTTTTATCTGTCTGGATATAGTTACAGTATTTTTTTTCAAAGTGTATGGATAAAAATGATACAGCTTACTTTTGAAGCAACTTTCATGTACCAGTGAATCAGAATAGACTCCCATCTTTTTTGGTCTACTATTCTATGTGCTTATTCCTCATTTTTAGTATATTTTGAAGGGTTATCATTGTGGGTTCGGATCAGTGGCTTATTTGTGGTCTGTGCTATGATTGTTGGGCTGTCATTTATAATTTTATATGTATAAGATGCAGCAGTAAATATATATCTCTGAAGCAAACTTGATTATAACTGTCTATAAAATATTTCTGAATGGAACAAGTGACATAAAATCGAATTTGTTTCATCATATTTATTTTCAAGTTCTCAGAATGCGTCTAAAAATTACCATTGATAAAACCACATATGTATAAATTACTTTTTACTGACGTTTCAGCCACCACAGTGATATTTTTTAAAAGTGCAGATCATGACTATCTGGATTACTTGACTGCTGTATCTGGTACGCTTACAGAGAATGAAGAATGTTCCTTTTTCCATAAATTGTGTCAATGTGTATAGAGGAATGAGGATTTTAGCTAGAAATAGTGAAGCATCATGTGGTAGGCATGTTCAAGAATGAGAACAAATCAGTGATGTAATTAACTTTTGCCATGTCTGGTATATTTTGTTTTGTGTAGTATTGAGATGAAGGCATGAAAATGATCTCGTGATATCTTAGTATTGCAGAGATTCAGTGAATAACCCCCTCACATAGGAGTATTTGACCCCAACTCTTGGATAAAAACCCAAATTGCGATTGTTTACTAATACAAGAGAAAGTACTTTCCCTGTGCAGGTAGATAAATGGCACGTGCCAATACGGTTCCACCAATTAATTTTACGATCAGCCCGAATTATGCTGCGCCTGTCAGTTTTCGGCAACCAAATCTAAGAACTTCGTACTATCGAAAGTTTTTTATGTTTGGAGTGTTTGTGATGGAAAAAACTATCATGGATCTTGAAGCACATGGTATGTACCTTATATTCAATATATTTTTGAGAGTGTATTGCTTTTCATTTCGTAAATTTAGAGTATTCAAAGTAACTCCTATCCATACTTATCTATCTTGTTTAGGCAGCAGGAGTGGCGTAGTGGTAGACGTTATGGGTCACCATGTGCTGCGCGGGTTCGAATCCCTTCCCAAGAGAAATGTTTATCTTGGCTATGGATGTCGTGATTGTCCGTAGGTGGTAGACGATCTGTGACTAATGCGGGACCAGATTGTGTGCATGTTGCATGCACACGTGTTCTCTTGCTACGGTCCGTGTGGCGTCCCCCATTTTCCCTGTATCCCTGTATAGACTCACTGTACCGATGGGTGTATGGCCTTAGGCCTTCATGCTGGTTGGAGTAAAAAAAAACACCCAATATAATTGTGATTTTTCGTTACTTTTTTATCTATGTTTTTAGTTGGTATGTACCAATTTGTACCAAATGGAAATAATTATATCATGATAACCTAGACTATCTACTTTTATAAAAGTTCATCAAACGTTTTCCCCAGTTTTCCACAGTGAAGTAAAAAAAATGTTTTCTTTGTTACTTTAGTAAATGACATATATTTTCTTTCTTTCAGACTCAAATGAATCTGTAAAAGATTTACAAGGATTAAAAGACTTTTTAATGATACATTGAAGGAATTAGATGAAAAATTAATTGCCTTGACGAAATGCCCTTCTGAAAAACTTGAAGAGTTTAAAAAAATAGCGAACAACTTCAAAATTGTTTACGGACGGACGGCATGTAAAGGTACAGGAAGCAGATTCAGAGAAAAACGAGTGGCTGGAACAATCCATTCAACTACCTGCTGCCCTTTTAGCCACACCTTCAGGGTCAGCCAAGTAAGGACTTTATGGAATCTAGTGTCAAAACTCAAAAACCCTAACGAAAAAGCATTCGTCAGAAGAGGCTCTAAGAATATATGTTGAACTAAGGCTCAATATGAAGTTATCCTAAGAAATAATAAGGATATTGTGTACCTTTGTTGCACGCTTTTGCAAAAAGCTAAATTATAATCTCTCTAAAAAGAATCCGTCACGTGAAATAACAAGACTTACTAGATAACAGCAATAAGGCTATATAAATACATGAATTAATCGATTCCTGTTCCAATGAAGAAAAGCGTGATTTAACTCTAATTTACAATTTTGGTTGTGATGGCTCACAACAATCCCAATAGAAGGAAAAATTTCTAAATAATCCTGGTAGTGATAAACACATTTTTTGAGATCTACTGTACCGCTCAGGTTAAGCAGTGGAAAAAAGTATATATCTACATGAATGTTAAATAAGTGCAGTATAATAAAGTTTTTGTTTGTGTATCTATTTATGATAATATAAAGATTATAAATCAGTATTTCATTTTATTTTAATTTTCCTGTATATAACTGCTGTTCGCATTACGTCAATAGCTTATTTCACGTAAAAAGGACAACTGTTTATTTATCACCTAACTAGTCATAATAAACAGAAAAAAGTAAATAAAATGACAAAAAATATTTTTGACCAAGGATTGGAGTCAAATACTACTCTGTGCCCCATTCAACATTAAAAGGTTATAGGGGTTATGTATGTTTACTTGAAAAATTATTACAAAGTGCTTTCACTTTATATCAGTTTGAAGCTAAACAAAACAGCTGATCTTTCAGAGTTTCTTGCAATGCCCTTATGTATTTCAAAATATGGAAAATCATGCTTTGTTATAATTTGTCTCAGAAACATTTTTTTAAACAGCCTTGGTTGATGTATTATGTTGTATGGTGTAGCTGTAGTAATTTACATATGGTCGTTATTATTGTAGTCTAGAGCATCCATGCGAAGGTTGCGCAGCCCCCTATGGCTACAAGCACTCAATGACATTATCAACTAATACAGAACTATTCTCAGTAAGTTGAGGGATTCACAGTGCAGTTGTTGAATTAACAAAGTAACGCTCCTTTTTTAATATCCAAGATTCTTTTATTTACTTCAGCAATAACATTAACTCATAGAAGGTGCATTCCACTGCAAAGTGGAAGAGGTATTGACGTAAGAAAGAAGTCGAGTTTTGGTGAGCTTTAAGAGTCGTCTTAGCATATTAAATAATTTTGAGGTATCCATTTATAATGCAAACTGAACCGTTTTAGGTTACATTTGAAATAGTGTAGTTCCAGACGTTTTTAATATTCCCTTATGACATTCAGTTATATTTTCAAAATATAGTTTTGCTCTGACAGTTGACGAAAGAATGTTTATCAAAAATCACTTGTAACTACACTTCTGCTTAAATTGTGAAGATATTGAATTGATTCAGTGTTATACAGAGCTCAAATACTGGAGCTAATTTATTTTTTACTTTTAACTATAGTACATATTTTCTGATTAATATATGCATGATTCTGCATAACACTTTTCTCTCTCTACCTTCTTCACATCTTAATACTTTTTTGGAAACTCACGTTTGATTTTATGGAATATACAGACTGTTTCAAATTCTACCATCACCATTAGGATCTAGAAGACTGTAAGAGATTAAATGGGGACAAAGTTGCATATTTAGATAATCAACAAAATGCGGCTTAGAGAGCTTCAAAATACTTCCGGCGAGAGACAGAAAAAAAACGAATTTTCCCAAAATCGCTTAAATTTTTTCCTGACTATATTTGTAGTGGAATTTCAAAATAAATTGCACATTAACATTGCCACTTTTTCTCATCCACAAGAAGGCATAATTAGAATTTCAATATGAAGTTTCATCCCTTGTCCCCCAGCATCAACTTTATTTTTTTATTTATTCTTCACAGATGAATAAAATTTTAAATTCTGATTCCACAAATGTATAATACATCATCCATTGCTTCTTCCAAGCCTCAGTTATTTAAAAAAAAGGAATTTCCTAGGTAGGCCTTGAAATTATCAGATAGGCATTTGTTTCGCATACCAGATTTATACCAAAATCACTTTGATGTTTTCGTGACTTTATTTAAGACGGGATTTCAACATAACTTGCACGTTGTCAATGTTACTTATTCTCCTCTACAAGATGACGTATTCAAATTTTCTATTCGACATTTCTTCTTACGACTTCTACCACGAGCTTTGCTTTTTCATTTTGTACATTTAAATGAACTTTCCAGCCCTAAATTGCGTGATGTCCTTAGTTGGCCATGAGTTTGTTGTTTGATGAAAATTATAAGGTAATAAAAAGGTATGTTGAAACTTGAACACAAAATGAAAATTTTGTTGATGATAATAACACTAATAATTATAAATGCGCAGAGGTAAATCATAGCAGATGTTCAAAATGTCCGTTATTTTGTATTTCTATTCTCGGTCTTCCAAAATCTGTTGGTGTATTCAATTTGAGTTCTGGTCTTGTATACAGAACAAATGAAATCTGATTATTTCAAGGCCTACCTAGGAACTTCTGTTTTTTTGGAATAACTAAGGCCTATATCGTCAGTCGTTCCTACAGTATTGTAGAGCGGCTTTATGGCCTCCTTGATTTCCATAGTTTTCTAGTGCTCCATGTCAGAGTTCTATTTTGAGGTTATGTTCAGGCTTTTGAATTAATATAATGTGTTATATCACCCTGAAATTTCCTGAAATTCAAAAAAAACCTCACAATACGTGAGCGCTGACACGGAACAGTCTAAATATAGGAATTCCAAGCCTTTCTGAAGTAGAGAAAAGACTGGAAATCAGGTACGCCATAAAAGCGTCCTACAATTGTAGGAATGGCTGACGATACGGCCCTCAGGGCCTCCTTGATATTCATAGTATTTTTTCTCCTTCACTTCAGAAAGGCTGGGGTATTTCTAGATTTCTACTGTTCTGTGTCAGCGTCCTCGCTCTCCAATTGTGATGCTTGATGCGTGATGCTTTCTTTTTGAGTAGTAAGAAATTTCAGGCCGATATATCAGATCATATAAACGAAAAGCATGAACAATTTGATGCAAATAGATATTTGGAACATACCTTTAAAATAGAGCGCTGACCCGGAACAGTAGAAAACTATGAAAATCAAGGAGGCCTTAAAGGCGTTCTACAATTGTAGGAACGACTGACGATAGAGCCCTAAGGTTTGGCAATGTCAATGTATGAAATAATGTTTCTAAGCGGCATTTTGTTGATTATGTAAATACGCAACCTTGCTCCCATTTTAGCGCATTCGTATCTCTTAAAGTTTCGTTTCCGATATCCCAGTGGTGAGGGTCGAATTTGAAACACCCTGTAAGTGTTTTGCAACATATTTTTTGCTTGATCGGTGTATATATTTAGATACTAACAGTTTGGATCCAGGCATGTGGTTGCATAAGCATGTAAATAGAGTAACATATAATAATAGAAGCGCAAAAAACAATAAAAGCTATATTTTGACTAATTCGCTTTTCCCCTTCCACTAATATATTTTAAAATAAGATGTTGAAGGATGTCTTATTGGAGGTATACACAATTCCTTTTGATTACAAGTATCAGTACTTCAAGACGTTAAATCATGGAAGCATCTTTGTTCAATTCACATTTTTTAATATTTTCAATTTTTCTAATATTGAAGCTATTTTTTACAACTTTTCCACAATTAGAATCTACATTACCTACGAAAATATCTCTGATACCTCGATAAGACATTAATTCCTCTTTGTTCGTGAGTACCACTTTTTAATATCCGTGCATTTTAAGGACATGGTGAAAAGAGCAGATGTATCTGGTAACCTGGATGCCCCTGAAGGAGGTTTCGACGCTATCATGCAGTCTGTTGTCTGCCGAGAACACATCGGTTGGAGAGAACAAGCCAGAAGATTGCTCGTGTTTTCAACAGATGCCAGTTTTCATTATGCTGGAGATGGGAAGGTACAATATTTTCTAAAAGATGAGACGGCGAAGACTTGTTTTGGTCTCGCTCCATGACTTTATTTAAAGATTCACTTTTAATTTTCAGTTGGGAGGTATCGTGAAACCAAACGATGGTAGATGCCACCTTTCCAGAGAAGGCTTCTACACGGAATCTTCTTACCAAGACTACCCATCAATCGAACAGATCAACTTAAGCGTAAAGAAAAACTCTATAAACGTCATCTTTGCCGTTACCGAATCCACAATTGACATTTACAAGCAACTCGCTGCAAACATTGAAGGATCCTCAGTGGGAAAATTAGAAGGAGACAGTTCAAACATTGTGTCGTTGATCAAGGAACAGTATGAGCAGATTTCTTCGACGGTAGAGATGAAACACAATGCATCTAGCGCGGTCAGCATCAAGTTCTATACGAGGTGTTTGAATTCTACAGGGGCGTTGGTCAATACCAACAAGTGCGGCAATATCAAGGTAAGTACTCAGTGATAGTTACTTCAAAAAGTTGTTTATACAGGGTGTCTCAAAGTGGACGTCAAGCCGGGAACGGGTGATAGGCCAAGTCATAATACTTATCAGGAAAATATAAAAATATCTAAATCGTGTACTTTGGTTTGGGCTTAAAAATATCGGAAAAATCTACACCCTGTGATGATGTATTAGTTCCCATTATTACAAATTTCAATTTTTCCTTAGACGGAGTGATGGACAGTGTCATTCTACATAGTGACAGCAAGGCAGAAGATAGTAACGACACTTTTATTAGTTCAAACTGCCTTCCTTCGGCAACAATGCAAGCTTGACTTGTTATTAAAAATAATTGGGTTATCAGACGGGCGAATCTTCCGTTATTAACAAATTCAGCTGCTTCCGTTATTCTGTTCCGTAGTTCATCTAAATTTTCGATTGGCTTTGAGTAAACTTTTTCTTTCACCGCTCCCCAGTAAAAAAATCTAGTGGATTTAAGTCAAGTGAACGGACTGGCCACGAAATTGTACCAGACCGCCACATCCATCTGCTCGGGCATTGCGCATCAAGATATTCTCTAACTGAACGGGCATAGTGCACCGGGCAGCCGTCTTGTTGGTACCACATGCCTCTCTGTAAATGCTCAGTGGCACGTCTTTCAATAAATTTGGTAAATGATTTTTTAAAACGTCTAAATAAAGTTTTGGAAATCGTCTCTCTGCTTGATTTGGGAATCGTCCATCTGGGAGTAAACGGTGCACATTCACAAAAACTCGGTGGTCGGGATGACAAGCAGCATTTGGGCTATCACGAGCTAGCTGCAGTGCTAGCATTGCATCTACATTCCCCATAAATAAGGTACATGTTGGCGTATTCGTGTACGGTGTACACAGACATGGTGGCACTACACAATCATGCAGTAATAAGAGTGGCATTATTATCCGTCCTACTGTCACTGCGTAGTATGACACTGCCTGTCACTCCGTCTAAGAAAAAAATGAAATTTGTAGTAATGGAAACTAAAAGATCATCACAGGGTGTAGATTTTTCCGATTTTTTTATAGTCTATAATTTGAAAAGTACTTGGTCTATCCCCCGTTTCCGTCTTGACGTCGGCTTCTGGGACACTCTGTATATAAATGTGAATGTAAGCTTAGTCTGTCTTCATCACGTCTGAACCATAGTATGAAGAAGGGAAACATTTGTTCACCTGATAACTCGAGTAAAGTTTTATCCGCGAAAATATACAGCTTGCTCAAAAGGTATGTTATAGATCAGAATGTGTACAAAAATATGTTTCCTAGAGAAAACCGTAGATCAAAGTTTTGAGGTTTGAAAAGATTCATCTATTGGTAACCCTGAACAGGACCTTGACTACAACCTTTAAGGTAATTAAAAGGTCGCGATAGTTTTGTATGATTTAAACAAGACAAGAATGGCTCCAGATTAATTTCCATTCATTAGATATTTCCAGTTCAAATCCAATGTTCCATTAAGTTACAAACAATCAAGATCATGACATCAACAGATATATGTCAAGTCCTTTTCAAGTTATCTTAAATGAAACCAATATTTTTGACACTGGAAATGTAAAGCAGAAAATTTTACCTTAAATATGTCTGCTCATGGCCATGGGTATTTGAGGGTATCCAGAATGTAGTGAAAGGACAAAATATCTCGACAAATACAAAATAAGATGGACTGAAATATCCATCTAATCGTGACCTTGAAAGTGGCCTTGGCGACATTTAAGCTGATTTGAAGGACAAGACAGTTTTCTTGAACGGTAACCACTATTTTGACCTTAGTATATTTATACCCTCCCAATCCCGGCAATTCTATGCTCATGCTGATCTATCCATACTGCCACGCAAAAACACACATATACTTGGACCACGCACGAAATGCACCATAACTATTGCAGCGATATTCGGAGACGTGGAAACGTTGCCAGATAAACAGTAACTACCAGTAGGGCGGGGAAAAAGTGTCTATAAACTAATTTTTTGATAGACTTAATTCATTTAATTTTTCTGTTGTACATGTCCGTAACTGACTTTTTTCTCAGAGGATTTAAATTGCGCTGCACTTAATCCTTGCATGAACGTTTTTTTTTCGATGATAAAAAAATGCTAAACAATGAAATTAACTTATTGTATGCCTTGAAATGTTGGATAAAAAAGGTTCATTGTCTAAGTAACTATTGCAGTAATGCATTTCTTTCAAGACAAGACAGATCTCCTTCACACTAATACGAAACGCATGACCTACACTTTACACTTCTTCTACGCGTTCGAACCGCGGGCTTAGTCTAGTATCTTTTTGACGCGAATGTTACAAAAATATATCAATTTTAGGTTGGAGATCTCATCCAGTTCAAAGTCGAAGTAGAAGTACTGAAATGTCCCAAAAATAGAGATGAACATAAGCAGACCATCCAAATATATCCGGTTGGTATCAACGAAAGTTTGATCATCGACTTGGAAATGTTATGTGAATGTAACTGTGAGAAGCCTGGAGACAGGGTAAGTAAATCGTATAACTTCATCACATACTAGACTATGCTATTGCCAATACTAGACGATTCTCCAAGGAAAATCTACACTTCATGTCATCTTGATTTCCTAGATTAAAAAAATGATCTTGTGATTCCGTCAACTTTCTATTCGTTGATTTAACGATTTCTAAAGTTGCCTGTCTATCGAAATTTGTTCCTCGATTTCTGTATCATTATCACTATTTCTTTTTGATTTATCAATTCATTGACTTGTAGATCTTTTTGTTCCTTGGCATTCTTCAGTTTTGAAATAAGGCAGCACAGAGTGCCATAATTTACCAGAATCGACTGTTCCGAGGGTGAATAACAGCTGCTGGGTGAAACTGTAAAGATCTGAGTTCGCGTTTGATAGTCTAGTCACCACTGTAACCTCTAGAGGCTGACGAGTTTGGCGGTATAGATGATGGTCTGCTCGCCATTGAACAACAAATTATGCCTTTTTTCGTCCTTCGGTCAACATACAGCAAACCGTGGACATCTGTATCGTGCTTTTTGGCAAATCATCAGTATGGTATGAGCTTGGTCTCAGGTGGACAACGAACGAAAGTATATAGAGCACCAAACAGCTTGCCATGGTTGGCTGTCTGTGGTCGGATGGACAAAAAGCAGCATGATTAGTTATTCTTCGATTTGTGTAAATATATGGATGCTTTGATCTCGATCCGAAAATCTCCGTATCGATCCATTAAGGTTCGATTTCACTATTTATTCTATATTTATTAGTTCTTTGGCCAACATTGGCCAATCTTGAAGTGTTTATGAAGTAGTGGACCTCATGAATCTAGTCTATTTAATCCAAACATATTAAACTATAAAAATCTTTATACACCACCTAGCATAGCTACAAAAACCTATTTTTTGGTTCTATCTTTTCGAAAGTGGATATATCCTTATTTCTGATCCGCGGACCAAATGGACAAATTGTTTATGTAGTTAAACTAGGCGATCTATAAAGAACTTCGTCGTTTAATATGGATTTTACAAAAATGGTATGTATGATTCGCTAGTTTGAGAGTTACCTACATAATATATATTTAACCAGTTAATTCAAAAACGCTTTTAGATCGGTCCGTTTGGATCCATGGATAACATGGTGGAATTCTGATTGGTCGAACTTAATCCCTGGATGTATGTAAAAGTTAGGCCTAAGTGTAGATAAGTTCCAGTTCAACCAATTTTTGACTGAACTTTTGATCTTTTTTTGTAGTTCTATGAAGAAAATTCTCCCCGTTGCAACCACAAAGGCACGTACATCTGCGGTATCTGCGAGTGTTACCCGAGAGCGTTTGGTCGCAAATGCGAATGTTCAACGGAAGAAGCCAGTCGAAATATCACTGATGCTACGTGTGTGAGGCCAGACGGGCCACCTGGTGTCAAATGCTCGAATCGAGGGGACTGCGTGTGCGGAAAGTGCCAGTGTCATGCTAGGAAAAATGATAACGAGGTAAGTAGAAAAGTATTCTTATTTGGAACATTGTTTAATAGGATCTTGGCATAGGACACCAGAGGAATCTCTAGAGATTCTGCATTGTATACCATTTCAGGATTAAAGTTCAATTTAAGATTTTTTGATCATTCGAAATCAGTGTGACTCCAGTGTACCAATATTTGTTAATTTGTAGTCAAGTTGGAAAAACGTGTTAATAAGGAGCCTTGAAGGTTTTAAGACCCATTTTTTCAGTCGACCCTTGACGTCCGAGTGCCGATTGAGGATTAATCAGCCCTTGGATGTTGAACTAATAATGCCACTTTTGAGTGATCCTCAGGTGGAGATTTAACATTTGCATTTCACAGTAAGCTGTAAAACACTTCTTGGGTTTTCAGGTTTCTCAAGATTTTTACAATTTTCAATTTGAAAACTGAGAATTCTAAAAATTATGAAAATTCTGAAAGTCATGAAAATCTTAAGAATAATGAAAAACTTGAAAACTTTGTAAACAGGACATTTTTAAAACGAAAATTGTGAAATATCTTAAAATTTTATTTTTTGACAAATTTGATACGAAAATTTTAAAAAGTCCTGAAATTTTTGAGGACTTTGAATAGTCTGGAAATTTTGAAAAACAACCAGAAGTGCGAATGTTACTCAGCACTTGAGGGTGATCAAGGGTCAGTTACTATTTGTTTAAAATCCGCGGATTGGTCAACCCATTACACGTCTCACTAATGAATATTTCAAAAAATTGTTGATGGTCTGCAGTGGTGATAAGAACTCGTGCAATGGGCGAATCTGGTGCATGGCTAGTTGGTCGCTTAGATTGACAAGAGTTCTTAAAAAGCTCGGTATGGTGACGATATTTGAAACAAGAGTTCAAAATGTATAATTGTTTTGTTTAAATGCAGGCGCGTATGACGAAGATGAAAAAAAAATGCATTGAGGACCATTTAAAAGTCCAAAGAAATACTATAGGAGAAATTTCAAAAATGTTTGCTTTATCTTCAGTAACGATTAAAATTCGTTTCTTTGGTGCATTGATCTCAAAATTGATATCAATTTTTCCTGACATCGACGGAAGGCTTTGAAAAGATCGTTTTTCTACTTCAAATAGTACTTCAGTATTCCAAATAACTGTGTTTCTTCGCTACAGGTTACAAAAATAGAAATTATGCGTTGAGGAAGTTCGTTATTTATAGGAAGCTGAGATCGACTGGACGCCTCAAAACTGTCCGTTTTTCTACTCTAGCGCTTCGCGACACTAGCATATTTATATGCCCATATTCGAAAACAACATCTCATATTAACCTAGGGCAACAAGTTTTGTTCGCTTATAGCAAATGTAAACTTTGAATTGAGAAACACAGTTTTCAGGTATACTATTGAAAAACACAACCTTTCTCTATACTGTTGTCAAAACGTAACATTTAAATATTTTCAAGTGGAAAAAAAATCTAGTTAATTTTATTAACAGCTAAATAAAAGCTTGTTTTTAAAATCTACTTTTTCATTTTATTCATTTTATACTTTTTAGTGTTTATGATGTCAAGTAACTAGTTTGGTATCTTCCATATAATTTTGATATATTTCATTAATACTCCATAAAACTTCTTACTTTACAGGTATTTGTAGTATAAAATTTCTATAGATGTAAATCGTATAATTTTGTAAAAAATGTTATACAGGGTGGCTGATATGTAACTGACTAGTTTGCATCTTGAATATTTGTGCAATGAAATAAAATGCGTCCATTTTTTCATCTTAATATTTTATTGAAACTTAGAAATTAAGCATGAACAATAATATCAGACAAATGTCCGCCTCTAGAATCCGCGCAAACCAGAGAGCCCTCTTGATTACAATTTCCATCACTTTTTGGCAGGTTTCGGGAGGGATATTTTCAATCGCTTCCATAATATTATTCTTCAGCTGCGCTACAGTATTCAGCTTGTTGGTGGCCAGTTCGCCAGTTGACACCACCAAATCGAGAAATTAAACGTCCCGGAAATATTGTTCACAGAAGATTCATTGCTTCCCTAGCTGTGTGACAAGTTGCTCCGTCCTGCTGTAACCACATGTTTTGCAGGTTAACTTGTTGGATTTGAGGAGAAAGTTTTGCACCATATCACGGTAGCGCTCGCCAGTGACAGTAAGAGAATTACCTGCAGCGTCTTCAAAGGAGTAAGGTCCAATCACACCTCCGTACCAAGCACCGCACCAAACTCGACGAGGATGCAGTGGTCGTTGATGGATGACACTAGGGTTCTCTAATACCCAGATATGACAATTCTGCTTATTAACAAATCCGTACATATGGAAGTGGGATTCATCGTTCATTATCAGTTGTCGCTAAAAATCGTTATTTTGGGTATTAAGCTGCAATATTGCATGACTTTATTGTCGGCGACTTTCATGGTCACTAGGCTGTAGTTCTTGGGTTAACTGAATTTTGTATGGCCGCAAATTCAAGCACTTTTTTAAAATAGTGCATAATGACGTGCGACGAATACCCAGTTCTTGAGAACGATGTCAGGTAGGCGTCTCAGGGCGCTCCACTACACTTTCACGAACTCTCTCGATATTTTCCGGAGTACGAACAGTTCGAACACGGCCCGACCTTGGCAAGTCTTCAACTTCACGTGTTTGTTAAAATTTCCACACCAAGTGACGAACACTGGGAAAATTATTTCGACCGAAATCTTGTCGTAGCTTCCGAATCGTTGCAACAATCGACTCATTATTTAAGTAAAATGGTTTAGCAATATGGACCATTTTTGGGATCGTGTAGCCCTCCATAATGAATTGGACAATTACTATGACGCCACCTACTGAGAGGCGTTTATCAAAAATGGCGCGCAATTTAAATCAGTCAGTTATACATTGGCCACCTGTACAACATATCTAAGTGGTATATATGTATGTTCCACCACTCAGAAAATTCTGACACACATATTTTGTATAGGCACGTATAAGTAATATATAATAAAAAGTGGCGATTGCCCCTTGAGTATAATATATATTTTTTAATTTTCAGATTAATTTTATCGTTATTTTCTATATTTCTTAAAGAACAAAAATTCCGGAAAGCGCTTAGTACATAGGTCTTGGGTACCTCCATAAAGTATTTCAATTCCATCCGGTCCGGAACTGTAGTTCTTAAGAATAAAGTTTTTTTCGATGAATATCAATAACTATATAAAATATGTAATAGGCACATTCCAATGTTACTTTGAGAGCTAACTAAGGTGGTGAAAATCAGCCAGACCGGTGCAAAGGCCTACTGCCTTTGGCGTTGAGGAATTTTCAAGGCATGCTGAAGACCACTTTAAAAAATTCTTCCACATTTGCCATCTGGATTAAGATTTGGCAACTTTTGATCCGTTTGAAAGAGACTCAAGAAACGCAGATTTTCTAATCTTTAGAGTAGGCCTTCGGTTTTTCGCGGTTACTGTGCCTTTCAGACAGAAAAAGTATAAAATACCTCACATACAGTTTGTTTTATCCTGGTCCAACACCGGACGCTCTTATTTGACTATGTTTGGTTTTTCTCAGCGTGTGTATGGCCCGTATTGCGAATGTGATAACTTCAGCTGTGAGCATCACGATGGTAAACTCTGCAGCGGCCCCGACCACGGAGAATGCGATTGCGGTGTATGCAGATGTACCGAAGAATGGACTGGAACGAATTGCGCTTGCCGGAAATCCAACGCCACGTGTTATGCTCCTGATACTTCGGATGGGCTGCTTTGTAGCGGACATGGGGTCTGCGAATGCGGGGTCTGTAAATGTGACACGACGGAAGATGGCAGGTACTCAGGAAAGTTCTGCGAGAGGTGCCCGGTAAGTAGATAGTCCCAATTTTCTTGGCGGCAGTGTATTTATAAACTTTTAACCCCAGTAATTCTACACCCCTTTCCGGCATATTTCACACACAGAAGTCCACAACAGGCCGGAAACGGGGAATAGGCCAAGTCATAGTTATCAGAAGAATATAAAAAAAACTGAGTCGTGTACTTTTCGAATTATAGACTTCAAAAGAAAATCAGAAAAATCCACGCCTTGTGATGATCTTTTTGTTTCAATTTTCTTTCAATTTTTTGTTAGATTGAGTGACGGACAGTGTTATTCTACGTGTTGACAGCAGGAAAGATACGAGTAGTAGTGCCACTTTTATTAATTCATGATTGTGTAGTGCTACCATGTCTGTGTACACCGTACAAGAATACGAGAACATGCGCCTCATTTATGGGGAATGTAGATGCAATGCTAGTGCTGCAGCTGGGCTGTATCGTGAGAGGTACCCAAATGCTGCTCGTCATCCCGATCACCAAGTTTTTGTGAATGTGCACCGTTTACTCCAAGATGGACGATTCCCAAATCAAGCACATGGTGAAGGGATAATTTCCTTTCCTTATGAGGACCTCGTACTACAAGCAGTCGAAGAAGACCCCAGTACTTCAGTACGTCAAATAGAAGCAAGCATGGGAATGCCCATGTCATTGAATGCAATTTTTGTGACCGAAACAGCGCCACTAGCAATCGAGTAGCAACCCGTGGAATTAAAGTGACATACGACGGTAAACAATCGTCGTGTTTATAAATCAAAAAATTATAAATACATTGTGGATCGTGACTCTGAATTTAAAATGATCTAGTTGTGTTGAAAACTGAAAACGTAATATAATACGATGTTCTGTTCTTGAATATGCCATATAGGTATCGATGTTTTCATAAAGCCAAGAGTAGACCCTTGATAAGATAGAAAGACGCTAAATATTAACACATAGATAAATAGATGACACAGCTTTAGATAGATTAGAGTTAAAATGCGAGGGTGAGACCAGCTTATCGACAAGTGCCAGATGTTTCTCTAAATCAATCAGCACTTACAGGCACTAACATAGCTCTAGGAGGCTGCTTCTCATTAAAGGCTGCAAATGCATCAGAAAACGCGAACATAGGGCTTATTGATGTTTGAAATGTCTGGCTAGGAGGTGTTTGTGTAAAATTCTCAAAATAGACATAGTCCCAACATTGCAAACTGGTCTTTACTCAAGGCGTAGTTTTAGGCTTGTTCCAAATCCTCTAAAATGGATGTTAAATATGGACATGTAAAAATAAACCTTCATTTAAAACTAATTCTATAAACACTAACATTTTCTTTACAGTGGTTGATACAGCTTTTTTAAAGCAGAGCTATCATTTTACATAAGCATACGACAATTGATGAGTTCGGCAACAACGCGACCATGGGCCTGATTCTAAATTAGTTTAGATAATTTTGATATCTCCTTATATCGATCTTCTATATTCAAATTATCATGGCATTGTCAAGACCGGGTCTCTCCAACTCGGGTGGCACCAGTGCAGCACCGAGCACCGCTGGCAGCACAGTGCTGGGGGGTAACTCCGTGAAGGTGGGGGAGGGGATTAGGCAGCGGCATGCGCATCGCGAGGAAGGTGTTGTGCTAACCGTAGCACCCTGCAAATAGAAATGACCCGGGAGCTGGTGACATTGTGTATACGTTCATCGCGGATTCAACTAAATTTAGTAATATGTAGTTTTTAACTAAATCAACAAGAAGGGCTCAGTAAGACGGGGCGGGGCGCAACCTGCCAGATGTACCTGTCATACCGACTTAAAGATACGGCGTGACAAGAGAATTTCACCGTCCTCACCGAATCCAATGAAGCCTACAAGGTTTGATGGAAATTTTAGGCTCATTTGGAAAAACATGGTATGACAAACTGATTTCCGCCAGAGGTTTCTGTCGTACCGACTGAAAGCTATAGCAGGCAATGCAAATAGATCAAAAAAATACATCCTGTTTGTATGCTTCATGCTTGCATTTAAAAGCTCATTTGAGTCTGTCAGTTTGACACCAGGCTTCTAGATGTTTGATAGTACATGTAAAATGAATATGAAACGTCATGACCGTTGATATACGTATAGGTTATGGTAAAATTCTACCGTCACGTTGTATCTTCAAGTCGATATTACAGGTACTTTCATCGGCATACCAAGACCTTTTTATTCGTTTACTTTGAAATTACATATTATTACTAAGGTTTAATTTCGCCGGCTCCCAGCCCAAACGGAAAATGAGTGGAGTGACATTCGTATTGACATTTGAATTGGTCTGATCGAGTCAACGCGCGGGTGATTAAATAATATTCATAATTTCGATGTAAACACATTTATTCTTAAGATGATCTTTGACAGCGTTTCGATTCAACAAGTTTTCTAAGATTTGGTACAGTGGCTTGAGCAGTGGAAATTCTGAGTATCGCCTCCAAGGACACATCAGACAAAGACCTGTTTTTAGTTTTGTTCAAATTCATTAAAGAAAACATTTGCTCACAGAAGTATGTTGTACCGAACATGAAGCAAGTTTCCAAGGCCAGTGCAAGAATTTTGGGAAAATCTTGCTGTTAACACTTTGATAAAACGAAATTAAAATACTATGGTAGTGGTAGTATCTATCCTTAAGGATCGTATCGCATTGAAGCTTAATCAGCTCCATTTGAAACTGCGGCGGTTCTGTTTGAAAAAGCACTGAAGATGGCGTCGTAAAAATCTCATTTGCATAAACATCTCAACGTCGTCATTGATTTCAAAAAAATCTTTAGCACTTTAGCCCAGCTTAACCAGCGCCTAACACAATAAAAGGGTATGTCACCGTAAGTTGCTTCCAGGTCTTTTAAAAATACTTCAAACTGCCGTGGTTGAGACCTTGCTTTCTGCAGAAATTGACACATGTTATTACTACATCCATAATAGATTTGAAATTACGGAAGGTTTTTGCACATAGTTGTTCCTGATGTAACATGCAGTGTACCGATGATATCGGAGGTAGCCCAGCGTCGCGTACTTTTTTCATTCGCCCAGTAAAACCTTGTGCATCCGATAACATTGTGATAGTAAAGACTATTTCGACACCTCTAACGAAAACAGCTAATTATGCTGTGTCAGAAATGTCTTTAGTTTCATCGAGAGCTATAGAATACTGCACAAAATGGGCACATTTTCCCGCAGTTGTTCTTTTAAATCTGCACCAAGTTCAAGTATCTGACGAGAAATTGTTTGCTCGGACATACTAGTTGTCTCAAAGTTGCTTACAGGAGATGGGCACAATATTTCTGCGCACTCCACTAAGCATTCTTTGACAAGTGCACCGTCAGTAAACGGTCTCCCACTTTTTGCGAATTTCCAAGCAACAGTATAACTCGCATTACGACACCATTAATAATAATCAACTACGACCAAATTAATAATTACCTCTTCAGACCTTAGAAGGGCTGGCCTCAATACCGTGTGACAAATTAAACATTTTGCTTTTCCAGCAGTATTTACAAAAAAATAGGCTTCTGCCATGCAGGATTGAATGACATCGTTTAGAATATGCACGTTAAGACGCTAAAAAACCTGTCAACTTTGTCTTGTCCTATTAAGAAATGACCTGCGTCCGAAAGACAGTCGGCTAATATGTTTCTCTCTGTCGCAACGGCAGTGCGGTCGAGGGGGAACGGCACCGGTGCCGCTGGGTTCAGCACCGGAGCGCACCAGCACCAAGTGCTCGAGTTGGAGAGGCCTGGTCAAGACTATCATAGCGAATCAAGTACATTGTCACAAGGTGCTATAGAAAACAATTTCAATGGTCGAAATTCATTTAGAATCAGGCATCATGTGTGTGTGTGTCAGAGTGCAAAGTGCGTCGGAAGGCAGGTAGTAAGACCTTGAGCATGAAATGCGCGGAGACGGAGATGAGCTTCGTCAGATGCAGCACGTATATCGTCGCTCAGCCCATCGGACGTACGACGTTGTTTTAAACGTTATTTTATTTTCTCGAATTGTATAAGTTGTAAATCGGCCAGGAGGTGTCTACCTTAGGAAATAAAATGATAACGCAGTAACATCGTCTTCCTACCCATTAACCTGAGAGAGCTAGCTCGGGAACTATTTTATTCCAAAATTTTAATACTCCTATGCATCACCCTATGGTGTTTCTGGGAAGGCAATACATTTAGTATAGTGTTCTTCTGCAGTGCCAGGTGCAGCATTTATAACCAGCCAGAGTCACCTGTAAAAATATATCTTTCATTATTATTCATCTTCAAGCAGGTACATAACAATAATTACAACTAAAGTAAAAAAGTACCTGTAAATGTTAGTTCTGAAGTCTGTATGTTGCCTAAAATATGTGGAATATTAAGACTCGGATTTGTTGCTGTATTGTTAATCTTGCAGATAATGATTCTGAGGTATTGATCTTATGATTGAAGAATATCGACTTATTACTTTTGTTAATAGGAAATTTTCACTTCCATAGCAAAGACATTTTATCAAGTAATGTAAAGTTTCATGTGCTAAAAAGTTTTTGATGCAGCTGAACTCATTAGTTTCTCAATTACCAGTCCACCATAAAATTTTGATATGTAATCTCATTTTCTTATTATGCATGGCAACAGACTTACTATACTTCCTTGTGGTTGTTGAGGGAAGTAAAGATGCTTCAATAGAATATCTGGATGCTTTAATGCATCATGCATCCACCACTTCCCTTGGTGCTTTGGATACACTGGGTTGACTGTAAGTAACCCATGCCAATAAGTTTCTGGTAGGAACCAAGGTAGCACCAAAACTACCGTTAATACCTAAAATCAATTTATTTCTATACAGTGTTAGGAAGGTGCAAGTAAGCTTATAATTGTGAAGTTCAACTCATACATAATGAAAAATACGTCGACGGGCGAGCAAACATGCGCGACGCATCGCAGAGAATCAAAAGTGCTGAAAATACAAACTGAGAGTATAATATCACTTCATAGAATCGTCAAGTTATTATGTCCTTTTTGAATTTGTTATACTTACCTTTCTTGTTAAAAGCATGAATAATTTTGACAAATTTATAAAAAAAATACTGATTGGCGACCAGCTAGATGACTACCACTGAGCAGTTGTTAATTTTCCATTTCAAATCGCTAGGCGGTTGCTGTTGGGTCGCTGTCAATTAGTTAGGTTAGGTAATACCAATTTTTTATACTCGTAACCAAAGAATGCATTTTTTGTTCACCTGTTGCTCCATAGAGGTGCCACCGTAGCTGGTTGCTGATTGAGATCCGCTGACTGATACATAATACGAAATTTACATTTGATAGCAACTATCGACCGATTCGGGTCGGTTGTGGGTTGATTGGAAGTTAGGTAATAAGATTTGAGTTTTGTCAAACAATGTTACGGAGACACCGGGAAGATCAGCGATTTTGAGAGAACAATTTATGGACTGATTAGTCGACACCAACAAATTCGGACTAGGCTAGAAGAAGCCAAGCCCATATGATGTTAAACGATTGTTTGTTAGCAACATCAACAGATTATTGGTTACACAAAATTTGACCTTGAACGAAAATTGTATTCTTTTCCCCGAGTAGACATTTGCTTTTATCGCGCTTAAACTACTTTTTACATAACATGCAACACTTCACCATCTTCGAGGATAGTCCAAAATGATATATATTCCATTGAAATGTTTCAAAATCCTCAAAACTCTGTAAAAATATCACGGAAAAGACAACGTAAACATGACAACAAGAGCAAAGCACAAAGCCGCAGCATAAAACACCAGAAAGCAGCCCAGCTATTTCTAATTTGCCACCACAGCCTTGCCACGTTTAGTACGCAAATATTAGTTTTTCAGGAAATATCACCGGGATCTAACAATACATATTTCTTAATTGTCTTCGGTGCCTATTTCAGATGTATTGGAAATGCAGAGTCGCTCTGGATGATTGATAAAAACAAATCCTTCGTTTACGTCTTCTACCCGTATTCGAATTCGTTGGTCGACACAATGTCATGGCCAGCCCGTTCACCAGACTTAGATCCACTCGATTTTTTCTATTGGGGAGCGATGAAACAAAAGTTTACTCAAAGCCAATCAGCCAATCGAAAATTTAGCGGAGCTACGGAATAACGGAAGTTGTAGAATTTGTTGATAACGGAAGATTCGCCCGTCTGATAACCCGATCATTTTTAAGATGTCAAGCTTGTATTGCTGGTCAAGGCAGCTTGAACTCTTATTGTGAATATATATATAATAATTAATATATTCACGAATTAATAAAAGTGGCATAAGTGTCTTGCTGTCACTACTTAGAATGACACTGTTCGGCACTCCGTCTAAGAAAAAATTGAAATTTGTAGAAGTGGGAACTAGAAGATCATCACAGGGTGTGCTATTTTTCTAATAACTATTATGTCTTGGCCTGTCCACTTTTTTCGGCTTGACGTCAACTTCTGGGGCACCCTGTATATCACATCGTATATTTGCCGTGAAAACTCAGAATGATAGACATAGTTTGTATATAATAAAATAAGATAATATAAAATATTCACTCAAAGTTACTACTATGCTAAGGACGAAAAAGCTTTGGGGTATAGGGTAGAGAGTAGGAGGTCGTAGGGGTGTGGGCCTATTATGCATATTCCCAACATATATTACCTATTAATTCAAAATAATAGACATATTTTGTATATAAAGTGCGCTAGCCGCTGCTCGCTCTCGGGCGAAGATGCATTTGGGCAATGTTTTATCTGGACAGCTGAGAAGAGGTCAACGATGCCCCGGTGATGTAACAATTGTTATTACCATGGTATATAATTTGCTGAATATAAATAACCCGATCCGGTGACAATAGGACTGTAGCTATTCAGGTGTGAAGTGAATAGATCCTCACCAGTCTTTTACGAATATGAAGATATTTTGGACTTGATTCCTGCGGCTGTATTGAAGAAGTGTGTAGCGGAGCTTGCTCCGGTTCTTTCGCGTCCCTTTCAGATATCTTAAGAATCCGGCATCTTCCCAGAAAACTGGAAATTTGCTCATATACGACCCATCCCAAAAAAGGATCCAAGGCCGACTCTGACAACTACAGGCCTACATATATCTCTGCTTTCTCTTATAAGTAAGGTACCTCGGCTTGATTAGCGACAGGCGGTGTGGTTTCCGACACCAGCGATCCACAGGGGACCTCCTAGCTCACGTCACGCAGATGTGGAGTAAACTCATCCAGTCTGATGGTGAGGCTCCATGTTGTTGCTCTTGATTTCACGAAAGCGTTCGATCAGCTGTGGCATGCTGTCCTCTTATGCAAACTTCCATACTGTGTCTTCCCAGAGAAGCTTTGCAGATGGGTGCCTGACTTTTTCTCTGGCTGCAAGATTCCTTCCGTGATTGACGGGTTCTCCTCTTTATTCCACAACGTCAACGCAGGTGTTCCCAAGGGATTGGTCTTGGCTCCGATACTGTACCTCTTACAGATCAACGACTCCTTTCCTGTACGATCAATCCAATCCACAGCTTTGCTGATGACAACACTCTACATACAGGTATTCAGAGCGACAAGCCGATATCTGCCGCTGAACTGGAAAAAAGAAGACTACGAGAAGCAGCGACTTGCTCTCTGACGAGAGTCTGGAGGTTATCACTACTTGGGGACTCGAAAATCTTGTACAGTTCAATGCTTCTAAAACACAGTACTGCATCTTGACGAACAAACAGCAACCTAGAGCTCATCCGGTTTCGATGGATGGCCGAGTTCTGCCAAAGAGCCGTTCATTTCGGCTGGTCCAGATCACCGATGACTTGAAGCTAGGCTATTTGTTTGGAGCTAAGAAGTAGTTTTCTTCTCAAAACCTCCTCACTCTACACAAGGCCCAGATAAGACTTTTCTCTAACAGACAGTCTCGGGACCCTTTCGGACCGGCGGGCCGTCGGCGATTTAGGACTGTTCTACCGCTACACCAACGGGCTTTGCTACTCAAAGCTTTCCTCCATGATACCGCCGCGCGACGTGTCTGCCAGGCAGACCCACCCGACTTCGGCCTCCCATCCTAACCGTGTCGAAGTTCGTACATCCAGAACTGCAGAACAATGTACAAGAGGAGGCTTTTGCCATTTCTACTAACCTTAGCCAGTTCTAAAATCGGAATAACAAAGTTTCTTCGGGATCCTCATAGCAGCTGCGGTATTCTGGCACTTAGGCCACACGACCCGCTGTAAGGGTTTCTATAGCCGACAAAATAAATCTACCACAACGTAAGAAAATTGGTGCAGAGAATTTAAAGCTCACAATTCTAATTTCGCCAAACAACAATCCTCGTTTTCACTAATATTCATTCTATTCTACGGCCTTATGCCAGAGTGCAAGGATTTTCATAGCTGGCAAACAATAAAGTACCAGAGCGTACAAAAGTTAACTCAGATTATGCGTATACAATAGGCAATTTGTCCAGAAGTGCATGGAAGGTACAAAGCCAATCTACTTGATGCAGTCCTTTCATGTGTTATCATTCAGAATCGAATGGATACTACTTACGAAACTGCAATCCTGATTCTGTTACATAAAGTGTCTGGACAGAATGGTGTCAGGGAGCGAAGCCAAGGATTACACATATCGACAAAAGTTTGGCTTAGGTTTCACACTCCAAATACATCAGTAGTTATTCAGCAATTACGAAAGCCATAGTTATGTAATACCTGAAACTTAACCCGTAGTTTTCATGCTGAGAATCCCCCATGTTTGTGTGAATGAAAGCACACATAGTTATGTCTTTCATTTTGTCTTTGCAATATGCTAAAATGGGAAACTTTATGCCTGACGATTTCTTGGTATCTGTAGCAGAACACCTACAGTTCATCATCAGGTCACGAGATACCATGTTTATTTGCAATATAACAAAAAATAACGACGAAAATAGCGTACGGAAAATAAATATAATAAGTTGTGCAAATCGTTAGGGCATGTCACAGACAGATTTTTACGATAAAAAAACTTGACTTTAGCCTGTGATCAAAGATGTTATGCCATATCCCCTGCGGTACCCTCGTAACCGAAAAACGCAGGCGGTCCGACGAGACTGTTTTTGATTACCTCTCAAGTTATCTACATAATATTCATTATAATATTTTGTTTTTTTTCAGACTTGTTCTGACAGATGTATCGAATACAAAGACTGCGTCCAGTGCCAGATGTACAGAACGGGACCATTGAAAGACGAACATGATTGTGCCACAAATTGTACAAAATTCACACCAATTCCTGTCAAGGAAGTTGTAGGTAAGTTATTTCTCATCATCTACTACTAAATGAAATTAGAGTATGTGACAGTTGAGCATGGGTATACTGTTCTGAGCTTGGGAACATGTGATGTCCTTAGATGTGTTCTTCTGGTCTTGCCAGTGGAGCCAGCAGTACTAATGAAGTTGGTTATGAGAGTGGTATGAGGTACCTTAGCTCTTGTGACATAGTTTTGGTTTATAAGTACGATTATGTTATGTGTGGTAGCCCAGAAACTAAGGTTCAGAAAGAAGGGATAAATAAAGGAGGGAAAAAGCGACTACTCAACCACGTATAATTTTGTTTTGCTAATTTGCCTCTTATTTTTGCAGCAAACGAAGAAAATAACGAATTCAAATGTGCCTATTATGATGAAGATGAATGTATATTCACCTACGTTTACTACTTTGACAATGACAACAAACTGCAAGTGAAAGCACAGGAGAATAGAGAGTGTCGTGAAAAGGTAACACTTTTTGAATATGTAACATACAGGGTTCTAAGATAATGATTCTATGCATGGGGTTCTCAATACCTGTGGGATATACGGCTTAGGTTAAATTAGGAAAAAGTTGCATCCTTTGGGGCGTATTTACATGCTGTTGAGAAACTTGTAAACATTTCATGGCTTAGATATTTGGGAAAAACTGAAATTTGGCAAAATCATTATTTTCCTGTTTTTATTTTAAGGTATATAAAAAAACTAATGACACATGCTTGACTTGACGTAAATACCTGTCACCGAGTACTATTACTATTGTGTACTGTTATTATCGTCAAAGATGCCAGGCGGTCATTTTATCAATGAAGAAAACTTAACATCCTGACGTACTACATTTTGTGCTACAACAACACTTCAGAAATGTATCTTGATAAATTTTCCGAAAGAAGGCAGCTAAGTAAGTCCATTTTCTAATAGTTGGCTCGAAATTTAAATGAATATGGTTCATTCAAAAAGCCTGTTACGTTTTGAAAAAGTAGTCTTTAGAGGAAACTCAGAATAGTGTTTTACAAGCAGTTGCTGAGAACGCTGAGATATTAACTAGGCATCTTGGGAAAAATGTAGTAGTCAAATCCACAACCCAATTTATTTTGCGTAAAAATCCATATAAATTCAGGATTTGTCAAGGACTTTACCAGGGTATAGCGAACGGCGCCTGCATTTTTGTGAGTGTTACACACGGACGTGGGAAGATTCTAATTTTCCTTCAAACATATGATCCGACGAGAGGATGGTCACTAATAATGGTATCATTACTCGCAACACTCATTACGGGAATCAAGAAAATCTGCTGGCTAAAAAACTATCCAGACATTTTCTGAACTAAGAAAACAAATGTAACATTGTTGAATTCGCAGAATAAGATGCTATCAGATAGAGGGTGTACTTTTTTCGGACCATATAAAAAAATAAAGTTGATGGTTTTTCAAATTCAAAACTTCGGGCAGAAAATTTGACAACACCGCCATGTAGTGCCTAAAAAGTACCAATGAAAATCCATTAGTTTTTTGATGTTGAAGTTTCTCAACGGCAATTAAATACGCCCCGAAGAATGCAGCTTTCTCCTATTTAACCTAACCTGAATGTCACACAGGGATTGAGAACCTGTATGCATAGGATCCTTATTTTGGACACCCTGTATATTACCCTTACCCAGTGTCCACGATTCAGGTTTATCAAATTTTGAAACATCTAAGACCATCATTTCAAATAGCTTTACTTTTTTTCAGATATTTTTGCCGTTCATAGTAATAGGAGTAATAGCAGCAGTTGTCTTATTAGGTTTAGCAATTCTTCTATTGTGGAAACTGTTAACAACTATCCACGACAGGAGAGAATTTGCAAGGTTCGAGAAAGAAAAAATGATGGCGAAATGGGATACAGTAAGTTTTCTCTTCATTTAGCAAAAAAACGACGTGAAAGCTGTTTTAAAATTGGTCAAATATGATTTCCTTTTTAAAAAGTCGTCTTTAGACTGTGGAAAACTGTTTTGTCAACTCAACATTCAGGAGCATCTATTATTGTTAAAATATTTTTAAATTTTCGACTCGCACATGGATTTGACATTTTGATATGAACTGATGCAGTTTCTTTTCAACTTCAGGGCGAAAATCCGATCTACAAGCAAGCTACCTCGACGTTCAAAAATCCAACTTATTCAGGAAAAGGTTAAATTTGTTGATCAACAAACTCTAATAAATTGATCTATAGATCTAGCACTCGAATTATATCTCGATATAATTTATGAATTTTTATATCTAAAACCAGTGTTAGAGGTTTTTGCCAGAAACCTAAACGTAGGTGAAAACTGCCATATAAGAAATGTGTTTAGTTTCTTTCGAGTCTTTTGTCCGTAGGTACTTAATTTTTTTAAATAATATATACGATTCTCCTAAAACACTAATATTATAGTGCAAAGCTAATATGTTAAGTTTTAACGTGTACTTTTTATATTGTAATGGCATTCGTATTTTGTAAATGCATAGTTTCTAACGTGTTTTTTAAGAGTATTTTTTGTACGAAGTAAGACAAAGTAAGTATGCTTGATCATGCTTAGAATCTCCAAGCAATGTGCCTAAAGTTTATATTGTGAATATTAAAGTGCCTGAAATAGTTTCAAAAGAAGGAAAACTACAGTTCAGCAGATAGTTTCATTTGAAACAATGGTGCAATTAATAGTGAAAGCAGAATAAACCAAAGTAGATAAGAATGTATTTATTTTGACTGTAGCAGCTCTAGTCATGAGGCAATCGTAGTCTGAACTGTTGTTTTTCAAGCATTGTTTATCTGAAATTTTAAGAAACAGTTCAGTATTTATGGAATAGAATAATTATTATCCCCCATTTGTCTGGCCGAATAAAACCATATTTGTTTGAAATTCCTCTTTATTGTACGACGTTTTGGTCACAACAGCGACCTTCAAGTACAATGGACACTTTTTTGGCAATATATTTTATTTATTTGTCTTCCAGGTGACACTTAGCTTGTGTTTTTCTTAAGATACAACAGTTTGTCCTTGGGATGGCGAAGTAAAACATCTGCGCATTCAAGATCCAATAACGAACCATGAGAAAAAACCTGGGAAAATGCATGGTCCATTAGTTAGGTTGGAGAATATCAATTAGATCTTGGAATCCTGGAAGACATAAATAAAATCTATTATCAAAAAAGTGTCAATTGTACTTGAAGACCGAAACGTCGTACAATAAGGAGGGATTTTAAACATGTGGTTTGATTTGGCCAGAAAAACATGGAGAATTATCATCATGAAAACCAAAGGATAGGTTTCAGTTGTTGCATTAGAATGATTCTTTGATTCAATGTATGATTGATTCAGTTCAAGAATTAAAAAGCATGAATTTAAAATATAATTAGAAAATGCATAAAAACATCTGATTTCAGAGCTTATACAATAACAAAACGAATGGTAAATGTGCCTTTTACTAGCCCAATCAAATATCTGACTTTTGCTTAAAATTTCCAATAAGTATACAAATATTTTGTATAACGCTTGAAACTCGCTAAAACAAGCAAAGTTTCATGTATACAGTACTAGGGGTTTATTTTCTGGTTACTTCTTAAATTATACTGGTGCAGCTTTTTGATGACAATTTAGTTTTTAAAAAATCTGACGGTGTTTAGATTGGCTCTCATTTTATGAAAAGTAGCCTTTAGGAAGGCCCCGTTATTGAAAATTATATTTGCAGCGAAAACTCTCATATGTCGAATCACAGATTCCAATGTTGAATATCTTATGGATTAACATTGATAAAAATAGTGTGTATCTTAATTTTTAATACTATTGGTCGAAATAATATGTAGTTGAATTTTAATTGCATCCATATTTAACAGAACTTTATAAATATATTAAAACTATTAAAGACATAATCTATATAATTCTTGCTTTTCACCCACTTCCTCTGGGGAGTAAAGCTCGTTGATCTAGCTGCCTGTCTGTGCGAAAAGGTCCCGAGATCGGCCGTTATAGAAGAGTCATCGATCAGTCGCACAACCCTACTCTGGGCAGCAAAGCCTAGCTTTTTCCCAGCAGCTACCGCTGTTGACGAGACGTGTCCGTGCCAGATCAAGTCCTTGGTAATCTGGACTTTGACCATTCGGGATAAACGGCTCTTTGGCAGAACTCGGCCATCGAACGAAAGCTGATCAGCGCTAGCACGCTTTTTGTTCGTCAAGGTACAGTATTGTTTTGGAAGCATTAACAGGTTGAATGCCATGGCGGTCGCATACGACCGCCTGCAAATAATCCCACCATGCCATGGCGGTCGTATGCGACTGCTCCACACATGCCTTCAAATTTCATTTATGCTGTGCCGGTGGTCGCTGATAGTCATATAATTATTATGGCAGAAGACAGCTGTGGCATACACGCCTAGCTTAAGTTAGCGGTTTTCGGTGTAACTTATAAGGGAAAGTGAAAATAATGTCTGAAGTCGTTTTTCAACTTTTATCGAAAAATATATATAAAAAATATGCAAGGTGGAACCCCGTGGAACAAAACAAGAGATTGAATACCTCGATTTACATAAGGCGACTGAATATTATTTTATAAGTGTGTAGGTTGAAAAAGTCTAAACAAAAGTGAGGTTCACCTCCGTATGATGCACAGTAGGTAACGACTTTTTCACCCTGCTTTTTTGGGATTTCAATTTGCACTATTTAAGCATAGCATCCTCTGCAGTATTTTTTCACTTTATCGAAGGCGCCTATTTTCTTCGATATAGAATGATGTCTTTTTGAGGCTATTGAGGTCTGATGTGGTCGGGATTTTGGTAGGTGGGTGTTATCGTAATTCAGAAGTAATAATACCAGTTGCTCCCGGATCACTGTTATTTTTCATTGAACGCTACGATCGACAAAAACAAACTAACCTAATTGCAAAGTATTTTTATTTCATGTTTTTGGCCCGAAGTTCACAAGTTCAAACTCGCAAAAGACGACCGCTAGGACGACTGCTTGGCACTAAGGGGATGATAATATCAGGTATTCCGCGGCGAGCGTATACGACCGCTGACTTATTTTTGCCGATATGTATGCTAATAAAAAAATATAAATAAAATTAACCAGTGAGTCTAGAGTCTGATGCAAGAAGCTTCACTTTTTTGAAGTTGGCACCAGCGACTTTCACTACGACTTTCATGGCAACCTGTTAAGCTGAATGAGCGTCCACAAGCAGTGATAACCTCCAGGTGTCTCGACAGAGGAGAAGCCACTGCTAGTCTTACTTTTTCCGGCAGAGATCGGCTTTTCGCTCTGAATTCCTGCATGTGATTGATAGTTCCGGAAAGGAGGTCGTTGATATGTAAGAGGAACAGTGTCGGAGCCAAGACCGATCGCTGGGGAACACCCGTGTTGACGTTGTGGGATGAAGAGGAGAGCCCCTTACGTCGGAAATCTTGCGGCCTTAGAGAAAGACAGGCAACTGCAAAGCTTCTCTGGGAGGCTATAGGATGGAAATTTGCATAAGAGGGCAGCGTGCCACAGCTGATCGAACGCTTTCGTGATATTAAGAGCAACGACATGAGCCTTCTCATAAGACTGGATGAGTTTACTCCACAGCTGCGTGACGTAAGCTAAGAGGTTCCCTGTGGATCGCTGGTGCCGGAAACCTAATCAAGCCGAGACGTTCGATGTAGTCCATAAGCTCGCGATTTACGAGTATACAGGGTGCGGCAGAGAGGATGGATGGTTTTAAAAAATTCATAAAATAGTTAATTTTTACTCGAAAAAAAATTTATTGATGACTCTCTCCAACATGGCTCACTCAACTTGGGCGACTTCCACGTGAATTTCGCCCTTCAATTGGTCCAGAGTTCGGGGCTTGTTCGCGTATACTCTAGCCTTGAGGTGTCCCCATAAAAAAAATCGCATATGGATAAATCTGGGGACCGAGGAGGCCACTGAACATCGCCAAACGTGTAAATAAGGCGACCAGGAAAGAGAGGGCGAATAACGTCCATGGATGCTCGGGCTGTGTGGGCGGTCGCCCCATCCTGCTGGAACCAGACACGTCGGATTGGAACACGTCGCCGTCGTAATTCAGAAGTTGGTGATCATGTCGACGTAACGCTCTGAGTTCACGGTAACATCACGACCATTACCGTCTGCGAAGAAGTAAGGGCCAATGATGCAAGTTTGCGATACAGGGCACCAAACCGTTACTTTTGGGCTGTGCAGCGGTCTTTCGTGTTCACTGTTGCGGATTTTAATTAGCCCAATAACGACAATTCTGCTGGTTAACCATGCTGTTTAGGTGAAAGTGGGCTTCGTCACTCATAGGCGAAAACGCGGTGCTCCACCGTTCAAGGCTCCCCACCACTCTCGTAGACGGAGGCGGAGAGTACTAGCCATCCCAAAAGCCTAAGCAAGAGAACTATTACATTTAATTCTTGGGTATTTATAGTCTATGTAAATACCCAGTCGCCTGACCTGAAGGAGAAATCTTAGCGTAATGTTTGACAGACTTGCAAAACGTTATGAGCTTTGGCAGGTATGAAACTATGTTGATATGAATGTTTGAAAAACCTACTAGTTGCAATTAAATTATTGTAATATTTGTTGGTAACACTTTAAGAGGTACTAGCTATAAAGAAAAAAAAACATTTTGACAAAGCTTTTCAAAAATGGCCTTGATTCGCGTAAATCTTTTTTAAATCATTAAAGGTGATAACTGTCCATTCACCGTACATTTTTAGATGTCTCAATCTGTAAACAGTCATCTGGTCGATTTCAAAACGAACAGAAGTTCCCTATCAACGTATAATTTAAGACTTGGTGCGAATTCAAAGGTCCGGAAATCATTATGATCAAAATCTACAAGTTGCCTGATCATGTTAAATAAATTCGGTCGGACAGTTTTCAAAAATACAATTACAAAGTTTTTATTCAATTTCACACTCCATACTGTCGATGAATATCTATCCCAGGGTTGTTCTTTTGTGATTGTTTTTGTGCAGTGTTTAATGTTGATGTTTACTCTATTTATGATGCTCTAATGAATGTGCAACTTTTACAAATTATTTGAAATTGCATATTTTTGACTATATCGAATACTCTGTTTGGATGCTAATGGAGATAAAGGTATTTGTATTCTCGACCTTAGCGGTTAAAGTGTAAGCGCATCTCACCTACGAGGTGTCCGGTTAAATTGACCACCCTCTAAGTTTTTTATATGACCCTCAAGAAAAAAGTTTTACACAAAAGTAATAGGGTCAAATATAAAGTTGTATTTCTTAAATACATTGAAATAAATAAAATGATAGTCCCTTTTTCTGATTCAAAATATATATGGTTTATCATACTTATTTTCATTAGTTTGGCCAAAATGTTTGTGTATCATTTACTCACGAGTTCGAACCAGTTTGCAATCTGGTATATGGCCGGAGTACATATAAATGAATAACAAACAAAATTCAAGTAATAAAAACAAGTTTAACAAACCATATATCGCACCCTTGCTGCAAAAGTGACTCAACTCTACACTCTAAATATTTTCTGTAAAAATACATTCGTTCTGATAAATAGTATAAGTCATAAACACGAAAATCCTTTTTCAAGTTATATCACTTTTGATGTCTGATTTGAACAAAAATCCTGGAATTATTTCCAAAACCGACAGTTTAGTTGAGAACTGAAAAGGAACAAAAGACTAGCGACACTTTTGTTGTTCGGTATTATTAAAAATAATAAGAAAGAGGTATGAGTATTTATTCATAGTTTTTACCTGAAAATAAATCGCCAGCATGATACTGTAAAAATATTTTTATTTTCTTACACAAAACATCAAAAACACATTGATTTGGACTTGAATACTGAGCAGGTATTCCTACTTTTATTCAAGGAAAACAAACACAACATACAAAAGATACGGAACAATAAGAGGCTTGCATTTAAATTAAAATATTTTTCAGTCTTCATAACTTAAAAATTCCTTTACAAGATTAGAACTGAATTAGATCCTGAGTACATCTTTATAAAACATACATGAATTTGGCCCTAAATACTGAACAGGTACTCCTATTTTTATTCAAGGAAAACGAACACAAAATACAGAAAATCATAATAAAGAGCAAGGCTTGCATTTAAATTAAAATAATTTTCAGTCTCCCTAACTAATAATTCCTTTACAAGGTTTGAACTGAATTAAATCCTAAGTACATTCTTATAAAAAGAGTCGTAATATGTATTTTTTTAATTGTACCTTTATCAGCTAGTTCCTGTAAGTTCTGTTTTTTAAGTCACTCAATGGAAACTTATGAGAATAAGCTTGAACTAAGCTAACCGAGTCTGCGTTATGCTCTTCGCATCTAGTGTTTTTCACATTATTCATATCGGCTTTTCTGAATTCCACCTATTCATAGGACGTTTTATAGAAGAATGAATCCGGGTATCCATACGGAGATATCCATACCGTTGCCTACATCAAGTAAAAAACAAAGCTAAAAAATTAACCTACATATTTATAATTTTCAAAAAGTTGAAAAGCGTACGTAGTTAATTCGTTAGTGTGTCGTTAAATGTTACAACACAGGTGACATAAATCAAAACATATAACAACAAAAGTGACCTAAATCAAATTATATTTGAACATTTGTGTTACTTTAAGCAACTAAAGTGACACAACTTTATATAGAACAAATTTTACTACAGATTTCTATACCCTTAACTGACTTAATTCAAAATATTAGAAGAACTATACTCACCGTAATTCATCAAATACGACACAAATCAAAATAACACGGTTTAAATGCATTCACGTAACACCTTTACTGTATTGAAGACAGGGTTCAACTGAAAATATGTCTGTTTAGCTGGACTCAAAGGCCAAGGCGGAAGTGCTAGCCCAGATCTTTGCTGCCAACTCCACCATGGACGTCCCCACCAACGCCCAAGTGCCGTCAATTCAAAGGGTTCCCCACACTATGCGGGAGGTAACATTCAGGCATAAGACCGTAAGACGAGTGCTGTTGTCGCTCGACATCAACAAAGCTTCTGGTC